GAATAATTATATATGTTAAAAAAAAAAAAGGTTGGAATTGCCAAGTGCAGCCACGTACAGCGTGTTAAGATTTGCCAGCTGTCACAGACGCATCTGTGGGTGTGAATACATGTGCATACATGTCCTAATTACGCATGCAAAGCAATGGGGTAACTAATCTTGGCGGTTGAAATTAACACAGATTCCCTCTCCCTTTTTTGTTACTGAAAGTTCTGAAAGTACCAAAACTACTGATTGTAATCTCTTTGGGTTTTTTATTCATCAGTCTCGAAGTGACGTCACAAAAAGAAGAAAATGGAAATATCTTTTAAACTTTAGCGCGTTCTGTGCAGAGACATCCGAAAGCAATGATCTTGCTTTACTCAGGCTTCCACCCATTACAAAAAGAATTGCAAACAGTCACAGACTTTTCCTGTTTTCCTCAAACTAAAGAATGAGGTTCGAAGTAACATCCTCACTTTCACCGGCGTAGGCACTAAGCTGAGAGAATGCAAGGAGAGTCCTGGAAGGCACAGTTCCCACCGGTATGCATGACATACTAGAAGTTTTGAAAATACTTAAAGGTATACACGTAGTATATTTAGATGACGTTCTAATTCACATTGTGCCGTGTTATTTGTTTTTGAGGTCTCAATACACAGGCTTAATTACATTCTGATTTGGGGAGCAACATATTTAAATTGGTACTCTGCAGGTTGACGTTTCTACAGAGACACCATCAGCACGCAATCTCCAGGTAACTGCACTACTTGCAGAACGCTTGTCTGTTGTTTTTTGTTTTGTTTTTCCTTGAAACTCCTTTGAACTGGCTGTACTCTTTCCACTTCTCATGCTTGCATAACGTCTCCTCTGATCTTTACTGAAGAAGCAATATTTTGCTTTTCTATTTCAGTCCTTACCATTGTTTTCCTAGCTTCGAGTTCTCAAGAAATAGGATGTCTTGATTAAAAAAAAAAAGTCTACTTAGGCTTTTACAAGTGGGTGGTGTGACAGATTAGCCCTATCTTCCACCAACAATCTGATGGATGGGAAAATAGAGATGCAGAGGCTGTTATTGTAGCTGGAAGCTCTCTACCACATCAATTTTGGCCCCAAGCCAGAAGATCCTAAGAAATGACGAGAACGACTGACGGGTTTATGAAGTGTATTCCTTGTGAGGCCTGACATCAAAGGAATGTGTCTTTACAAGCAAAATCTCTGTGCCTTCTGCAAAAACACTTCTTTTTGTCTTCAAACTGGTATGAGGCCTGGTGTTCTCATGTTGCAAGAGAAAGGTTATCTTCTTCTCCGGCCTGACTCTGAAAGTTTCAGCCTCCAGTTTAGTCAGCGTTGTGATGTAGTGGTCTGAGATGAGGGTTTGTCCGGATTCCAGGAAATACAGAAGGATCACCTCCTTCCAATCCTGAAAGGCAGCGCACATCACTTTACCTGCTGAGGGATGCAGCTTTTTCTTCGATTGGGAATTCACGCGTTGCCTCTTGCAGTTTGAGACTCTGGCTCATCGTGCTGACTCCACATCTCATCACCGGTAATGATGCAGTCCTGGAAACTGCTACCTTCAGCTTCGCCTTGGTTCAGTAGGTCCTGACAAACTTACTGTGAAACTTCACATGGAACTTCAAAATAAGGAATCAGAATTCTGGTTGAGAATCTAGTATGAACCTTGGAATGCCATAATAACTCAGCTTCCCTCTTCCTTTTAACACGTTTGACATCCTTAAGCACACATCCTTAAGTAAGCTCTTTCTTAGCTGTTGTTGATCGTAGGGCTAGTTATGAATCACATCATGTGGAGGTTTTTTTGCCATTCACTTGCAGCACTTCATACGAAGCTGTAAATAAAGATGACGCATGAAGTTGGCTGAAGTTTTCCACTCACGTGGTATTTTTCCAATAAAAATTAAGCAAAAGTTTACAGCAATACACAATTAAGTGTTCAATAATTACTGCTTCTGTCTCAGAAAGGCAAGTCCTTGACCAAATAGCATAAATCCAGTTTCACTGGCAATTAAATGTTATTCGGCGAAAGAGCAATACTGAAGTTGTCAAGGAACCAAATTGCTTACTTATAATTAGCAACATTATGGTCATTGTCTGGCTACCCAGATATACTGTAAATAAGCCTGTGCAGTCTGTATGATTTAAGATTATTTAGAAGACAGTCTCAAGAGAGAGGTAAACCAACTCCTTTCTCAGTCACTCAGTCAGCTTGCCTCAGCAGGGTAGTGCCTACAACTCTGTCCAATTTAACCCTTTTTAGCAGACTAAAGGAAGGTCTTTTCCTTTCTCTAAATATTGCTCCAATTCCTCTATCTCGCAAGATCATTTAGAACCGCATTTGTCAGATTTTTCAGTTTCCTGGATTTCTCAAACTGTTTTGCAAGAAGCGTTAAGAGATGTTGCTCCGTAATTTACACTTTTCACTGCAGTTCCACGGGGAGCTTTAGCCAGCATTGGAATCCAGAAGAAGTAAGAGCCGTAGATCTGTTATACTCTATGCTTGGTTGCCAGACGACTGTTTTTTTTCACTCCGTACTGTACTTTTTCATGTTCTAGTTTAGCCTTTCAGGTTCAGCTTGGCTAATGTCTAGGAAGAAATTTTCAAAAGCAAACACTTCTTCTCAGTGCCAATTCACATTTAAGAGAAAATGTGAATAATTTACTGTGAGTGCTCACAGTCCTTAACCAGCAGTTTGCAGTCCAAATGACTTTCAAACAAACAAACAAACAAACAAAAATTGCTTTAGGTTGATTCAGCGGGTGGATCGGACCAGGTGTCTTCCGAAAGATCCCTTCCAACCTCAACTGTCCTCTGACCTTTTTTTCACAACTCCACTGCAACACTGTGAGTCCATGCACTTACAGTTTCTGTCTAAAAGCACAGATTTCAGCAGTTAACCCTGAGTCAGAGTATAAATTAAGTCCTCCTTTATTTCTACTTGGACATGTTATTTCGTCAGTCAGGGCTGAAGAATACACAGCCAAAGTTTGCCATTAAATGCTGCTGAGTAGGTTTTGCAGGAAATAACAAGTTTAGTAGGACAAAACTGAAAATAGAAAGATAAGGCATAACTCTGATATTAAAGATAGACACAAGCATACAGAATTAACCTTGGAAGAGCTTGTACTGTTCCGTTCTATCCGCACAAGTGAAATTGAGCTCTAGAGAGTGAGTCAGAGTCTACAGATCGTGATCAGCCACAGCAAAGGAAGTAGAGATTCAAGCCACAGTAGAGGTTATTTTTGTCTTGATTTGTCCTCTTCTTAATCATGGAAGTATTATGTATGTTTTCATCTTAAATTAATTTTAGTCTCTCGCATCAGGAACAGTTTCTGATTTTAGGAAGGCTTTCACGGGAGTATTAAGATGGAGATTTTGCTCGCTGAATGACACATGAAGAGGATAACGATTTCAGAGCTGCATGTCCTATTTTAGCAATTTTAACTATCAGGAGAAGATGGGCTGACCTACTTTCAAGTAACAAAAATAGCCAGGGATCTTTAAACAAAATCAATCTCATTGAGTTGAACAGAAATGGAGAAATATAATTGTTCCATTTGCAGGTTATGCACTGCTCACAGTGTAACCTGGGGACGTGTACATCGAGGCTCTGGAAGCATTAAAACAGAGCAGCCCGACTGCGTATACTGCCAGCAGAGATCGGGGATCATTGAAAATTTCAACAGATTGCTTTTCATAGGATTAGTGAATTACCAAGGTTGGAAAAGACCTCTTAGATCATCCAGTCCAACCGTCCACCTATCACCACTAGTTCCCACTAAACCACATCCTTCAGTACAACGTCTAGACGTTTCTTGAACCCCTCCAGGCCTTAGCAGTCACATTCCCACCCCATCCAATTAAGGATGGAGATTCTCCTTAGCCCTCCTCTTACTGTTAATACATTTACGAAAAAGGTTTTTGTTCTCTTTGACTGCAGAAGCCAAGCTGAGTTCAAGCTGGGCTTTCGCCTTTCCGATTTTCTCCCTGCACATCCTAACAACTTGTCTGTACTCTCCTCTAGTTGCCCATCCCTTCTTCCACTGCAGCTAGATTCTCTTTTTCTCCTGGAGCGTCAGGATAAGGTCCCCGTTCATCCGTGCAAGGCTTCTTCCCCGTCAACTCATCTTTTGGCACAGGGGAAACATAGATGTTTTTTCACATATTATTTAAATTGTAGGCCGAGGAACTTCAGTGAGGATTTTGATAAAGGTCACTCTGTGGACACGAGGATACAAACTCGCCACTGAAGATGCAGGCTGACAAATGAGACAAGAAAAGTGGATCGGGAAAGATCAGAGGCTGAAAAGATTCTTGGTCGACTGCATCTTTGAAGAGATGGAACGGAGTAATTATGAGCTCGATTTGGTGCAGAGCAATGCGTAAAGAACTTCCGAGGTCCCTTTCAGACCTGAATAAAGGGATGATCTGTCTGAAGATAAACCGTCCGCAAGTTTCCAGAAGTAACAGCAACTAAATCCGAAGTTTGAAATCTGTTAGGACGGTTTACAAAACAGAAAGCGCACAGTTGTCAGGAGAGATACGTTTCTAATTCTGAACTTACTTTGTTTTCATCCCCAGGAAACCTGTTTTCTTTCTGCAAAGAAAGAATAGCCTGAATTTAAATCATTGCCAGCCTGCAGACGTTTGGTCCCTGCTTTATTCAAAACCCTTCTGAGTGTCTTTATAGTCATAATCGTTGTTAGAACTCCACAATTCAACTTAATCTACCTAGTTTATTTTGTTCCTTTTGCTATTATCCTAAGGATATTACCCACGTTACACTCAAACTCCATTTCCTGCACAAAGTCTCATAGGCCACTAAGATACGGTTAGCTGTTTTAAAGCTCAGCTGAGACTGTCAAAGCCTTAATTTATGCAGCATGATAACTTCACTAGATGGCAGTGGAGAGAAATAGTGGTTCACATAATTTCCTTGTTCTTTTTAATTTATTTATTATTATTTTGTTTATTTATTTATTTATTTATTTTTGTTTTTTTAAATAGGCCAGGGAAACACCCCTGTAGGGACTGCAGTTTATGAGTGTCATCCGTGTTAGGTCCAGATCACAAGACCACACAAGAGCGTAGGGGCTTCTGCCCTCCGGTTCAGTCTGGATGCAAACTTTTGCAGGAGCACCGTCACATACTCTTCTGACCCTAACACGGAGGTGCAGAGAGCAATGCTTATCTTTGAACTTTGGTGTTGCAACCACTCTTTCCTTACCTTCTCATCTTCAAGGCAGAACTTCTTTAACGTGAGAGTGACGGGGCACTGAAACAGAGGTGCTGAGGTTACGGAGTCTCCTACTCCGGGTATATTCAAGACCCATCTGGCCACCTACCTGTGCGGTTGGCTGTAGGGAACCTGCTTTTGCAGGGACTCAGACACCGTGATTTTCAGAGGTCCCTTCCAGCCCCTACGAATCTGTGATCGTGGGTGAATCTACATTTGAAAAAATATCACGTTTTCATTGGTAGAGTGACTAAAACAAAACCAGGGGAAGAATCGATGCCGTTGTGCACCGACCACTCCCAGGACCGGGAGAAGGGCAAGAGGCAAAACTCAAGGACCAAATACTTCAGGAACAAAGTTCTGTAGCTTCTAAGTTTCAAAACCCATAAAAATTGGACCGGTCTTTTGAATATGGAGAATTGAACAGAGCGGATGATTTCCCCCAGAATCACGACATCCGTCTGTCAGTGAAATTCTCCAAGAAGTCCCTCTTGGCATTCATTCTGTGAGATTTCCCTTACTTTTCCTTTTTTGTAGCCTTTGGAAAGCAGAAATACGTGCACATACCAAGCCCTGGGGTTTAGTTAGTGACACAGCAGGTTGGAATCTCTGCTCTGCAACGAGCGCGTCGGTTTACTCAGATATACATAAATAATAGATACGTCAGTCGTAGCGCACAACTCGTTGCATAAACCAGTCTGTTGAAAATAAGTCACTGCTCTCGAGCATCAAGATGTGGATGAAAATAAGTAGTGGGTTACACAGATTCATAGAAAAATACACTTCAGATTAGCTTGTTGGGTTTCCCAAAGTGGATGTATTTTTTGTAGACGGTTAGAATTCAGTGTCTGTGGAACTAAGTACACTCAGCAGTAACGGAAAACAGAAGACCAACATTGACAAAACAGATGATGCAACGTGTCCTCACTCCAGCCGCAGTCACGGGGAAGCTATTATATTGTCTCATCGCTATTAGCGTCGTGCTATATTTCCCAAGCTAACTGCAATACACGGTGAAATGGTTTGGTACTGTGATCCTATAGGTCTTTTCCAACTGTAACGATTCTATGGTTCTATGAAGCTGTCCTGGTTGTCAGTGTTTTTGACCCATACTCAGGCACAGCCACTCCCTCTTAATGGTTATCCCACGCTACACAGTTTGCATGAGATGGACAGCACCACCCCAAATCCTTCACCCTCCCTTTGCCTGCAGCTTCATCCTGCACCCTTTACTCTTTATCGTCGATCCTTCATCTCACCCCTGCCACTGCATCCTGCATAGCGATGTGATATCTACGGCCATCTGGGCTTGCAGTGGGACATCACCGGGGACATTACTGTATGGGTGAGTTAAGTCCCAAGGCCTTGGGGTAGCTGTCAAACGCTACGGCTTGCCTTAACGAAGCTAGGCTGTGCTAACAAAGCAGTGATCTCCACATGATGCGATGCAGCTGGGGCTGCCCGGGCACAGCTGCGCTTTGTTTGGAGCTCAGGGCAGGGCCAGCCCCCAAAGCCTCTTAAACCCACCGGAGGCTGCTGGGAGCTATTGAGGGCTGCTGGGAGTTTGAACTACTCCTGGGGCTCGCTCCTTGCAGTAGGAGGCTGCTGGGTTTGCGGTCATGATTTTTGGGGGGCTAGCCTCGGGGTGGTATTGGTTTCTCTCTCTCTGTATTTCTAGAAGCAGATTTCTGCTGGGCTCCCTGGTGTTTTTTTTTGTTGTTTTTTTTTTTGGGGGGGGGGGGGGGAACCAGCACAGTGCTGCTGCTGCTGGGCTTTGAGTTTATTTTTGTGGGGTTTGTTTTTTGGGTACCTGAAAGAATTGCTGCTGCATCGCTCCTCTGGCTCCTCTGATTTGTGGGGTTGTTACAGAGGCTGCTGCTGGGCTCCTGTTGAGCTGCTTTTTCTTGGGGCCCAGAGGGTTCTGAAGGTGCTGCAACCCCCTGTGCTCAGAGCGACAGGTAAGCAAGATGGAGCTATGCCCTTTAGCCCAGCTCTGGTGCTGGTAAGTAAGAAGTTGTAAGGAAGGAGTTCAGGGGCTGCTGCTGGGGAGTGCCTTGCACTGAAGGGCTCCTGGTGCTTCCTTGACCGTGGCAGCAGGTTGCATGGCTCCCACACAGCTTTTTCTGGGCCCAGTATAGGGCTGCAGCTGGGTTTTTCCCCTCCTCTCTTTTTTGTCTCCCCTGTTTCTCTCGTAGGGGAACTAGTACATCATCACCTGAAGTGATGACTGAGGACATTAAAGAAGATGTGGCCAGCAGGAAGAGAGAGGTGATTGTCTCCCTCTGCTCAGCTCTCATGAGTGCCCATCTGGAGTACTGCATCCAGCACAAGATAGGCACAGAGCTCATGGAACATGTCTGGAGGAGGACCACCTCTCTTGTAAAGAAAGGTTGTGGGAACTGAGAAGGTAAGGGCTTTGGGGAGACCTCATTGTGGCCTTCCAGTACTTGAAAGGAAGGTATAAATGGAAGGGGATTGACTGTTTACAAGGGTGGATAGCGATAGACATGGGGGAATGGTTTTAAGCTATAATGGCAAGGTTTAGGTGAGAGATCAGGAGGAATTTTTTTTTGGCTCAGAGGGTGGGGACACACCGGAACTGGCCGGATGATCTTTTGCTCTTTTTTCCACCCAGGCCATTCAATGATTCTGTGATGAGGGGAGCGGCTGGCCCAGGAAGCACAGGTGAAAGTAATTCACCTGCGCTTCCCACGTGACTCAGGGTCTGCCCCTTCCTGAGCTCATTTAAGGGCTAGCCTCTGCAGGGAGAACATCTCCTGGATGAAGGCTGCTTTCTGAGAAGGGATGTTCTATAGCTGGAGACCCTCATTACTTCTCAGGTGAGTTGGCTTTTCCTATGTAGTTGTTGTTCCTACTGATAGTTTACTTGGTATTGCAAAGAACTTAGCAGATGCAGTTTCAGTGCTTCTGAGGACCAATGCGTGGCCAGTCCTGTAGCTGCTGGGAGTAAGAAGCAATGCAAGGGTAGGTTTGAAAAGAAACACTGCTTGCAGTTCGTTTTTTTTTTTTTTTTTTTTTTTTTTTTCTTCCTTGTGCAGGGTCCTCTTGTAAACCCAGTTAGCAGTTTCACTGGAGGCTCTCTGCTTTTGGTTAGATGGTGCTGGACTCCCTCTTTTATTTTCTTGGGGCTGGTGCACCAAGGTTTCCTCTGTCTGCCATTTGGGTGACACAGCCAAGTAGGATGGGGGTGAGAAGGGCTTTATTTTTGTTTCCTTTGGCAGGGTCAGGGCTGTATGAGAGTCACTTTTAAGCCTGGACCTGTGAGGAGTTCCACTGTTGGTGAGTGTGTGACTGGAGGCTCCCTGCTTTTGGTTGGAAGGTGCTGGGTTGTTGTCTCGTTCTTGTTAGGGCTGGTGCACTGTGCTCCTCTGGCCTGGTTGCTGCTGGGGGTGAGAAGAGCTTTATTTCTCTTTTTTTGTCTCCTGTGGCAGGGCTGTGTCTGAGCATGTTCTAAGCCTGGACCTGTGAGGAGTTCCACTGTTGGTGAGTGTGTGGGGGTGACTGGAGGCTCCCTGCTTTTGGTTGGAAGGTGCTGGGTTGTTGTCTTGGTCTTGTTAGGGCTAGTGCTCCTTGGGGTGAGAAGAGCTTTATTTCTCTCTTTTTTTTTTTTTTTTTGTCTCCTGGGGCAGGGCTGCATGAGGAGTTCCACTGTTGGCTTCCTGTTTTGGTTAAAAGGTGCTGGGTTGTTGTCTTGGTTTTGTTAAGGCTGGTGCACTGTGTGGCAAAAGGGAAGTGAAATAAAAGCACTGCCTGAGTTGGGCTTTATTTCTTTTTTTTTCTTGTCTCTTGTTGCAGGGTGGATGCTGCTTTGGATCAGCTCAGCCTGTGAGCAGTCCTGGTAGTCCCATTGCTACTAGGACTGCTTGTGGATCCCAGAATTGTGAAGGTGTTTTTGCTGCAGGTCTGGGACTTCTGTGGTGAGTAGTTCTTTTCCAGGGGTTCCTGTCCTGAAGGTTTTTTTTTTTTTTCTCTTTAGGTTTTTGTGCAGCTCTTAAATGGGAAGAAGAGAGTTATGTGCCCTTCTGTGATGGATCTCTTTATTTTTGGTGAGTGCTATAAGCATGCTTTTGTTGGTATTTTATTGCTGAGGATAAACTTTAGTTGTGTTTTTTTTATCTTTTTCTTGTGGGTGGTTTTGGATTTTTAGTGGGGTTGGCTGTTTTTTTTTTTTCTTGGGGGGGGTTTGAAAAAAAATTTTGTTTGCTAGGGAGTGTGTGTTGCACTATCTCTAAAGAGATATATTTTTTTTTTTTTTTGGTGGGAGGGTGGGTTCTGTTGTCTTTTTGTGTCTTTTGGCCCCTTGCTGGGGCCCTCCCCTGGGTGGGGGGGTGTGGAGGGGGGAAAGATGTGTTCTATTGCTTGTGGTGCTCCTACTGCTGCTGGGCTTGGGGTGACCTTCCTTGCAGAACTGTGTTCCTTCTTGGCTGGTGAGGGTGCCCTGGCTCTTCTTTCTCTAGGGCTAATTGACTGAGGGTGGAAGGCCTTGTTCTGGAAGGAGAACCCACTGCCTTACTTCCTTTAAGGTGCCTGGATGTCTTGGAGAGCTTGTAGGTCCTATCTTAAGATTAGATTGTATGTGATCTCTGGCAGCTTTAGTGAAGTTGGGTATATCTTCTACAGCTAGGGTTCTGCCCTTAAGCACCAGTGAATGAGAACTGTATAAGGCAAGAAGAGGTGGTGTGGTGACTTATTTTCTGACTTTTATTTTTCCCTTCTTTCTAAGAGGTGAAGGACGTGGAGTGGTGTGGGTGTGCAATTGTAGCTGCCCAGTATAAGAGCTGACTTAGTCAGGAAAACATGAAGTGTGAAGGAGAGCTTTCACCCTTCTAGCTTTTCACCCTATATATTCTGATAATACATGCAAGTGGAGTGGCTGCTGAGCCTTGGTCTGGTTCAAGTTTAAGTAACAATGACCTGAAGCTGAATACTGAGTGCCAGTCTGCAAGCTAAACTGCAGTTCCATACGTAGGAATCCCCTCTAATAAAATTGGTTGCTGCTTAAGATTGTGATACTTAACTACACCATAAGCAGTAGAATAATGAAGATGCTTCATGAATACAGAGCAAATTGTCTTAGAGGTATACTTTTTATTTTTGCATCCAGCTGATGTTTTAAAAAGACATTTGGGTTTGAGTAAAAGTAGCTTACCTGACTTTAAGTTTCTCTTCCTCAACAAGCAAAGCTAAGTTCCGGTGCTATCTTACTTGCTGTGGATGTGAGTTTAGAGCTTGCGCTGTCAGGCTCAACCTGCTTACTAGGCAAAGCAACTGTGACACTAGGCAGGAATGAAAAGCCATCAGCCTAGAGGGGAATGGAATGAATTGAGTGAACTTTACTTATGGCTTGCTCTGGAAACTTGAAGCTCTTACAGGATTAAGAAACTCTGATGTCTTTCCAGACTGTGTCTTTGCATTTGCCACTTTTTTTTGGCCACTTTTTTTTTTTTGCACACTATTGTTTTCCATCTGGTTTTACTTACAATTGTGACACTACATAGCTTGGTTTCTGTTGTCTCAAATGTAGGTCACAGCCAAGAGACGTACAGAAAATGAACAAGATGCAGCACCTCTCCAGCAATCCCCAATGATTGCTGTGGTAGCTTAATTTTGTGGCATCGATGTTGATTAGGTACCAGCATCAAGCTGTCAAAAACAGCAAGTGGCTTTAATTAGTTCCTTCCTGATGTAGTAATAGCCATTACTAGTTTTATAGCAAAAGCTGGAGTGCAGTTGCGTGGGCGGCTTCTTAGAACATGTAAGTGAATACAGCTTACCTGTGCTCACCAGCCCCAAAGCCTTGCTCTCAGCTGGTGGGAAGGTAGACTGGAGCTGTTGCTTCTGTGAGAGTTATGTCGCCTGGAGACTGGCTTTATGATCTTTGTTGTTTTCCATGGCTGCTGAAGACTAACGTTACTGTTCTGCTTCAATAAGACCTGAAAATAGAACAAAAGTTAGTAAAGTCTTAAATAACAGTACTAGAAAAATCTTCTCTGCACAGAATTAAAAGAAGCTATGGGAAGCTTGACTGGAAGCCCCATTTAGAAGGAAGGAAGAGCTGTCTCACTTGCTGCTAATTTTGCTATGAGGTATGGTTTTGGTACAAGATATGGTTTAGTAGTTTAGTGGGTAATAATAGCTATGGGAGGTCAGTTGGACTAGACGATCTTGTCCTTTCCAGTCTTGCGATTCTATTCGAAGCTCTTTTTCCTGTAGGTTACCAGTTTCTTCTGTTGTAGATAGTCAATGGTACCTGTAAGTGGGCAGAGCCCTTTCATGTCTATGGCCTAGTCTTTAAAATAAGAAGTGGGATGGCTTGTTTTCTGTCCTATTGTTCTGACAAAGAACAGTTATTCTGGCACATATTATACAAACATTATTGCTACATTCTGTTAAACTAGTAGCTTAAAAATAAATGAAGAGCAGATCCAAATTGTTCCTGTTTCACAGAAGCCTTAACTTTGTTCTGTCTTGCTAGAAATGTGACATATTGCTGTTAGCGTGAATACTTCCATGAGAGCCTGCAACTTCTTTTAGCTTAGCTCTCAAAAGAGTAATTAAGAGCCCTTAAAAATAGCTAGGGGTCTAGGGTATCTTTTCCATTTTTTTCCATGCAGTTCCACTTTGGGCACTAATGGTAGTGTGATTCTATTGCAGACTGTGACTGCTACTGAACAAGAGATGACACTGGTTAGCAAGCACAAAGCTATTATTACTATTGATTAAAACCTTGCTACTATTCTTCTGGGTTAGCTATGAGTTTAATAGTAAGTTATGAAATACTTGCTACTGTTCCTGCACAGGGTCAAGCAGTTTTGATTACAGCAGCGCTTGTGGCGTATCCCAACTAGGAAACTAATACTGAAGAACAGAGCTTGGTGTCATCAGTGCCTAACTTGCAGCTGAAACTTTTCTGGAGTCTTGTTAAGAACAGTGCCAGCTGATGAATGGAGGCTTAATGATTACAAAATCGTGGTGTAAGTAAATAAGCAAGTCCATGCACAATCTGGCAGCAAATAATTAAATCTTCAACCGTATTTATTTTTGTTCCCAGCAGCTGCTCTTCCTAAGGAAATTTCAGAAACCTACTTGATGGTGGGAGAATTCCACAGCTGAAAGAACTATGGGTTGTTAACCAATGACTTGGGCTGAACCATCTCAGTGGGCAGACTCTCGAAACCCCTGTCTCTAATTACTCCAGAAAATAAGTACGTACTTATTTCTACCCTATTTTATGTGCACGGGGGGGCTGAGATGGTGGATATGATGCATTTCCAGGTGGACCAGGATAAGGTCTAAGGAATGCTTAGAAATGCACAGAAGTAAACAAAACCTGCAGTGAGAATTTCAGTAAAAAATGATGCCTAGAACTTCCAGCAAGACATGACAGATAAATTGTTTTCTAGATGACAAAGTCCTTACCCTGGATGCAGAAAGCAGTGAGGTCTATTCTCCTGTCAGGGCTGAGGTCAGATCTGGTATTGCCTCTTCAAAGAATGAAATGCTGCAATGGATGTCACCGAGGCTCTGTTCTGCTACCCGTAACAGCAGCGGTAGTATTAAAGGGCTTCGTGACCCTTAGAAAAATATTCCTCCTCAATATCACCAACAAAAGAGGTGTGAAAATTGTTTTGTGTACATACAAGCACTACTTAGCAGCAAGGTCGCTATTCACTTAACTACCCCTTGTTCTGAACAGCACATAAAAATTCAACTTATCCTGGACTGTATGCATGAAACATGCCTGAAAGCAGAATGAGAGGAGGAGAGATTTGGTAAAGCACTTTTTACAATCTGCACAAATATACAGAAATCACTCTGAAACTCATTAAAGACTTAATTATAGTCTGTGCAGTGATCTATGGAACCAGGCCTTGATAATTTTTGTAAAATATGCTATGTTAACTTACGTAGGGCAGAGCTGTAGATTTAAATAGCTCTACAGTATTATGATTAAAGTTGAATAACCGTCAACAACATTAATGAATGACACTTTCTGGTTCATATCCCCAGCTTTTACGAACTCTATTGACTTGCTGAGTAGTTTGTTGAAAGCACTCATTTTCTATCATGCAATCATAACTCTGAATGGCTGCATTTGTTGATATAATTCTGCTCAGAAGAGAAGTGGTAGAAGATCAAAGTAAATATGTGCGTTTCCAGAAACACAGGTCCTAAGCTGAAATAATAATAGAGTAATAATAACTTTGACAGTGAGTGTTTTGACAGTGTAGGATGTAGACATGTTGACAGCTACCTCACTGCTTGCGGGATGCCAAAAATCCCTCACAGAAGTTTGCATCTTCCCAAAATCTATCTGTAGAACCCTTTAACAGAGCTGTTTAACATCCTTGTGTGGCCTGGTTTTTATTCTGTGGCAAGACGTTACTGGGATTACCATTTGTGTAACTAGTGTTAAAGAACATGGTTTTGAAAAATTAACCTTGTTTCAAGTATGGTTTTCAGTAAGCAGAGAAAATAAAGGCACAGCAGAAATATCATCTTCTGCTTCCCTGGGAAATTCATCTTTCTTAGGCACCATATTTAATCACAATGTGCAACATCTCTTTTGACGTGAATTTATTATTGTCACTCTATTTTGACACGCTTCAGTAATTACCAGTGATCATCACTGTCTCACCTGTCACATACAGCATTTGTCACAAAACGCTTCCAACTTCTACATTGATTTCTTACTTTGAAATAAAGACTGCATTTGGCATTACGTGTATGGAGATATATATATATAAGACAAAAGTTCAGTGATATTGGACCAAAACAGTACAGTAATGCTCATTTTGAGGATACAGTCTTCGCACAAGCTGAACTGTAATAACCAGCCACACACAACTGCTTGAAGCGCATCCTCCTTTCCCATTCTTACAACCTCCCTGACCACAAGGGTGAAAACTAAAACAACTTTCCTCTATTTTGTGATGGACAAATCAGGAAAGTTTTTCTTAAGATCGGGTGAGCAGCTATGGCACATTCCAGTAACAGCTTACTTTAGGGTATTTTTCCCCTTAAGTGGATAAGTAAAAATAAATGTACATCATGATAAACTTAATTCCCACCTGAAGCTTTTACCCACTCTGGTCTACAGGGAAATAGGTTTCCAGCACATCCTCAGCTGCAGAAGGAGAGACAGGTGCAGGCTAAAAAAAAAAAAAAAGCCTGCCATAATCACTCCTCTTCAACACAGCTGGTTTAACAAGAGCACAGAGGTTTATTTGGACCACATTTGGGAAATGGGAATTTCCATCTTTTTGTTCTGTTCTTAATGTACTGTGCAAAAAGATCACTTGCTCTGGCAGCGGCTAATACATGACATCCGAGCAGACCCTTAACCAGGCTAAATAGCCATAGTTCAGTGGTATAAATAAGCGGCAGAGCACTCAGTGGTCAAGGAGCCACTCTAAAATGCTTTTGATTAATTTCCTGTTTCTGAGTCGGTCTCCAAAAGCCTCTAGATAACTTCCTGGCAATGCAATAAACCCAATTTGCAGAGCAGCGCTTCCAAACATTTTCCTTTTATTCACAAGCCAGAACATGATGCTTCCTATTTATCTGCCGGTGGCCTTGGCAGGGGGCTGACTGGAGAACTACACCGGCGCGGTGCAATTGATGTTGACGCAGCACAGATAAACAGCAGCACTAAAGCCTTCCACCCACCGCCCAGGGGTTTTCCCATCTTGTACTTACCCCCCTGCAAAGACCCCATTTTGTGTAGGAGGACTTCTTGCCCTTCTTCCTCTGACACAATCCTGGATGACACCGATGTCTCACTCCTTCACCTTCCAGAATGAATTTATGAGTCGTCACTCTTTTTCAGTTACTTTTTCAGTTACAGTGGCCACTTTTTATTTATTTTTGCATGACCACCTGCATGAATGAGGTAGAAAGGAACTGTTACTCCACAGTGCAAGAAAAGCTCAAGAAAATCTTAGCAGCTTGAGGGCAGAAGGGAGGAGAAGTTCCCTCAAGTCCCAGTGCAGTCCCAGTGAGCATCCCAATGGAGCTGGACCAGATATAGAGCCACAAAAAGCAGTTTATGGGCAGTTCCTGTAGCTCCCGTTTCCTGGCTGTTACTTCCAGCCAACATACTGAAGAAGTACCTGAAAAACACTGAGGAAAAGGAGAAAAAGGAAAATACAGCGCTCTTTTTGTCAGTTATGTGGCTACACAGCAATAGTGGGGAGAGAGAGAGCATTCACATCTCAACCTGCCTTCACACCATCTGTTCGCAACAACATACTTAGTCCCCATGTAAGCAGAAGGAAAAAAAGATAGGTTACTTTATTGCGCATTCGCTTAGATTTTTGAAAGGAGGAAACCACGCAAGCTAAAATTAAGTATAATTTTCTCTTTTTCCCCATAGACTCAGTCTGGATGAATGCCAAACCGCATTCCTGAGGGGTGAGAAAGGCCCCACATCTGCTTCTGGTATAACTGTTTGTATCTTCACTCCAGGAAAATTAGGTTTGAAATAATCTCAAATTGTCTGACACCTGTATCCTATTAGAAGTGACACATGGAAACACCTTCAGCATACTGAATTTAGCACCATGTCAACAGCTTAAAGTTCACGGGAAAAAATGGCAAAAATCATTGCTTCCCACTTTTGGTTGAAACAGACCCGGTGTCTTTTCACAGGATGATACTGCAAGCTTGGTCCATAACTGCAGTGGGCTTTGAGCCCATAATTACAACATAGTCTGTGCCCCAGCCATGGCTGGAATTAAATCCCGTGAGCACCTTGTGGTGACTGGAGTCATGCAATAGACCAAGGCTTGTTGAGACACACCTAAGGGCTGAGTGCCAGCCAGCAGCCAGCACGTGGACACACAGAAGCTTCAGGGGCAAAGCAATGCTATAATGTGGTGCAAAGTACAACAAAAATAGCAGGTAGGCAAAGTAAGCCTTTGGCTGCAGCAAACAAGGATGAGCCCAAATGCAGCAGCCACAGATACTGTAGATACAAAAAGGAAAAAAGGAAGGAAAGCTGCTTACCTTTAGAAGGCCTCAAGCACACAAGGATCTCCAACAAGATCCTCTCGCCTCCGCTGCCAGCCCTTAAATGAGATCCAGGAAGGGGTGTATCCTGGCTCCACCCCTTCCACTCACTCCGGTTCATTGCATGCACCTGAGCTCCCCTAGGTTGGCCCTCCCTTCCTACCAGGTGCTCAATCAGGCTGTGATTTAGCAAATCTGTTACAGAGAGCTTCTCTGAAGTTTGGCTGTGAATCTTGATTTTCGCAACTCACAGCTTCTTTTTATGGTGAACAGACAATATATCACTTGTCTCAAGCAGAGGAGTCAGATTGGCGCTACAAAAGATAAATTCTGCCACGGCATAAAGGTTTGGTCATGTTCAGACACAGAGAAGAACCAAATGACTTCAGAAGCTGTGCATCTAGTTTTGCTATGATGGCCTGCGCCTCCCTCAGCGCAGACTGCGACACACTTGTAGTGCTTTACTTGAAGCTCCGTGTGGAGCCTCCCATTTGCAAATTCCTCTATTAGGATAAATCTGATGACCTCTCTGCCGGATAACTCACTGATAAGAAAACACTAGTTCTGCTGAGTTAGGAGAAAGTGCTTGCTTTCTTTTCAGATAGCACTGTTTTGCAGCAGTTCCGCTGAAAAATCACGAGTACTCCCCAGAGTCAAGAAAACCAGAAAAATGCTGTTCTTGATCATTTTTCCCTCACATTCCGGCCCTTCGCTGACACCGTGTAAGCAATCACTTTCTCATCACAGTAGTTGTGACAGGCAAAAGGGATATTTACAGAAACACAGGCAGGTCACAGAGGTTGTTAAGAGCTCAAAAATTGCAACTTAACTTTTGGAAGAGTAAGCAGAAGGCCCACAGCAGGGTTTGTATTTTGTTAGGCGTGGCGCAGTACAGAAGGGGGGGGGTCCAGTTCCGACAGCACTGAGGCTATGGATGGTCAGAGAGGGGCGAAGGATAACATGTAATTTCAGCACACCACTGCAATTACCTTGATAAAATGATCAAGGAAAATCTTACAATGCAACCTACAATACAATACAACCTAGCTGAGGTGGTGTTTATTCTGAGAAAACATCTTCAGTGGCACAAGACCCGTTTTGGATCCCAAAGCCTTTCTCAGAATTATAACCTTCAGCTTACAAGAGAAAACTGTGACTAGATCCCTGCAAGTTTCCCAAGAAAGAAAATGAGAAATTGCTGTAAGTGAAACGTGTGTGTGTGCACTGGAGGAATAGACTCACGGCAGTCTTTTGGAAACAGCCTTCCAAAAAGGATGTTAGATAGTAGGATGCTTTCCCAAAAAGGATGCTACAAATCACATGCTTGAGTTAAGAAATGACAGCAACAGTCCAAAGGGAACATACGGGACAGGCAGTAATACTTCATTATGTATGCCGATTAGATGATTTCTCTTTCTAAACTATTTTTGCCTCTTATGAATAAATGAGAGAAAACAAGGGTGCCTTGTAAACAGCTGCTTCGGGCCCTTGCAAACCTTCAAAATGACGAGGTGCCAACGTGAATTTAATAAGCCCGCTCTTCCTGTATTCTGGTCAGTTCCCAGCTGAGGCTCAACTGGGATACGGATGCAGTGTTGCTATTTGTGACTGCAAATACTGATCCCATCCAGATATCTGGATAAGCCGTCCTCTTCCCTATGGGCAGCTTGGCTTCTGAGACAGACTTTAGCTGCACACCCTGCTATCCCTTTATCCAGACCGAGGGCTCCACAAAGAGCAGAATTGACAGATACGCATTGTGACGGTAAACATGGGCTGTTGAACTCCAAGCCAAAATGCCAGCACAGTCGTCCCATGTGTATCAGCTACCGCCTTTATCATTATTTCACATACCTTAAAGACAAGAGACTCTTGCTTCATATAGACTTCAGGGAAAAAGAGCTGCCTGCTGGCCTCTAAGCAGCCCAATTCTTTGTGAAGTGACACTGGCCAAAACATCTGGGGCACACAGCAGTGTCATCCTTGGCTGCATGGGCAGATTGCAGCAAAGACATATGTACAGCAGTGATAGGTGGTATCAGAACATCCTCTGCTTGAAACTTCTCTGAAGGTCAGTGTGATACTATTGAATACAATAACATGGAAGAAGCCTCAATGCTCTTCCCAAGATGAATCCCTTTCTCCTGTTTCTAAAGATTTGCACTTTTGTGTCATCAGTTGTAGTTGTTCGGCTACACAGTCATTAACAGCAAGGACTAGAGGTAATGGCCTTAAGTTGTGACAGGGGAGGTTCGAGTTGGATATCAGGAAATACTTTTTCTGAGCAAGAGTGGTGACAAACTGGAACAGGCTGCCCAGAGAGATGGTGGAGTCACCATCCCTGGAGTGTTCAAGAAACGTGGAGATGTGGCCCTGAGAAACATGGTCTAGTGCAGTCACAGGCATGAATTGGTGACTGGACTAGATGATCTGAGCGGTCTTTGCAACCTTAATGACTCTATCGTGCTGTAACTAGAGGAACATGGTGACAAGCAAAAAACAATGAGCTTCAAGGTAGACAGATACAACAGACAGACTGTTACACTAGTAGTCCAGTGTCCACGTGTACCTAATTGCAGCGTGGGACTCAAAATCTTAATGAGAAGTAGAAGGATGCCAAAATAATCTTTTAAGCCATAAACAGAACTTCGCAGTTAGGTAGACTTCCCCAAAGAAAGGAATCTGTTTCCTTTGAAAATACTTGCTAATAGCAAGTCCTATGAAGTTATATGTATCTACAGTTTCTACAGCATATGTATTATGAATTTTTTTTTTCTTTTTTTTTTTTTCCACCCCCACTCTTGGATAGCTACAGAAGAAAGCTGTGAATTTGCCTGATTTGTTGACTAACAGTGTTGCATTTCTCAAGCCTGGCAGCTGCTCAGGAAACAACAATGATGAGCCAGGGTCTTGATAGCAGTCACTTCAGTCCTCAGAAGACTCATGACAAAGCAGAAGAAGAGAAATACTATCTTCACCATGTCTGAACCTTTCTTTGTTTTTGGCTCAAAGTTAGCTTTCTGAGGCATTTCTTGCAATAACGCTCTGACTTACCTAGGAGATGAGAGGGAGGTGTTGGCGTATGACAATCAACATCATTTTGTGGACAATTTCACATTTGAAAGCATTTCTTTGGAGCTGATTGCCTTGGGAATACTGTGCTCAGGAATGTTTACTGGCAGAAAATCTGGCCTGTGACCAAATAACTCCAGCTTGGTATGGGAGATTGGAGAATGATAGCATCGTATCCTGTGAAAAACAGGATGCAGGTGGGCACCTCCCTGCTCCCTCTTATCTGATGGCAAGGCCCAGAAGATGGGAACAGAGGAGTTTCTGCTGAGATCCCAAAGCCAGAAGCTGCCAGTCCAAAGAGAGAGGACTTGACCGCTTTGTATTTGAGCTGTTACTCCAAAGGGAGCTGACTCGACCACTTTGGACTTATTTATAAGTTTGTACAGTCGCCGTCGTTATTGTCAGCCAAACAACAACTCCCATTGCTACTGAAGATCAACGTCTGAACTATGAGCAATGCTGGAATATGTGATGGTGACTATCTCCCTCTTGCTTCGTACAAGAACTCCCTGCTTTTATTTCCTATCGCTTTTCTATCGTCCGCCTTCCATTCCCCATCCCCTTAAGCAACTTGGATTTGTAATAAACTGGTCGGGCTAACATTTGACCCTTTGTATCTTCGTCTCACCGTCGGGTATACATGTATCAAAGAACCTCTTCTCTCTCCTATAAATTGGGACAAGAGATTTTTTATGGCATAGTCTGCAAGATACTTGTCATGAGAGTGTTGTCCTTCCAGACGTAGTTTGAACCTCTTCTCTGTGTGCCTCCTGGAGCTGCAAGGAGCAATATTTTTCCTCTCCAGGAAAATCACTCCACATACTGGAACTTAATTGCATTTTTGGAGCTTTTTATGTGTATACCTCTCTGGGACATGTGAATTAATTTTGAGTATTTGCATTTGTTTAATACGCGTGTGCCTCTCCAGGAGGACCACTCCACATTTTGTGATTTTAGTATCTTATGACTTAAGTGTGATTTGAATCTTTTTTCTGTGTGCGCCTTTTGGAGTTGAGAGGAATGATTTTTTTTTTCACTTAAACGTGTCCTCCTCCCCCCCCCCCAAAAAAGATCACTCCATATATTGAAATCTAAAAAGTGTTGTTTGAGCCTCTTTGTCTTCTGTGTGTTCCCCTCAAAGAAAGGAAGGAGTGATTTGAGCACTTACATTTGTCTCATAGGCGTGTGCCTCCCGGGGGAGGTAAGAAGTTACTTGAGCTTCTGAATACCTGTACCCCCATCTCCTTCAGTGTAGATCTTTCTGTGTATTGAGAAATGAGTGACAATGTAGTCACTATGAAAAGCAAAAATGTGTTGTTTGACCTTTTAGAAAGGAGTGGTGTTTGGCCCTCATTATCAAGGGTGGACTGGGCATGACAGAACAGGCATAACTTGTGGAGTGTTTCAGACCATATTAGTGTCCTACAAAATGAGGCTCGTACCTGAGCCAGAAAAGGAAAACCATTTATCTGTGCACTCGGGGCTGCTTTAAAAGCTTCCGTGGAGCTCTGAATTGAAGAGCATTTGGCAGAAACCCCAATGATACAAGCATTGCAGGAATCAATTAAAGTAACACAGGAATTGGTTAAGACTCTGCAGAATCATATAGTAAACCTTGAGAGACAATTAGAAAGTGAGAGACATGGTACAGCTTTGTTGCAAATAGCCTTAAAGGAACAGTTAAGGTGTAAGGGTACCAGTGACACTGTCATCCATAGTGCACCTCAGGAAAAAACTTATCTTCAGGAGGAATTGAAAGAATAAAGGCAAGGGTGGAAAAATCGGAGGTCTCCCCAGCGCACTTGCATCCTTTGATAAAAACTGAATATACATTTGATAACAGTGATGATCTAGACTCTCAAATGAATGTGAAACAAATTCCCTTCTCAGCCACTGAATTAGCAAAATTAAAAAAAGATTTTGTCCGCTCTGCAAAGGAATCAGAAACAGAATATGTATGGAGGGGTAGCCCCACTGATGAAGTCCAAATACTATTAACTGAAAAGGAAGCTGAAGGGTACTGGGGACCAGGAGTATTTTTAACTACTGGCAACAGTCGTGCTCCCTGGTCCTTAACACAGAAGGCTGCCTGTTGGGCAGGTGTTCTCAACCCTTTAGAAAGGGGAGACCCTCTTGCTGTTACTGGAATGGTTGATCAATTAGTAGAAAGTGTTCAAAAGACCGCTTGTCTCCAAAGGATGTATGCTAGAAAGCTGCAGCCGCACCATGAATCGTCTGTGATGATGCCTGCTGATCCTGAGAGGATAACCCCTTTAATTAGGGAGGCTTCCAGAATCGTTAAAACCTATCAGTATACAACTACAAGGAAAAATACAGGCTATGCCTCAGGGAGAAGGAGCCTGGGCAGCCTCTAACCATCTGCAGTCAGGATAGAAAGCCTGGACGTGGGGGGAGGTTGCCCAAGAGTTAATAAACTATGGGAGAAAATATGGGCTGGTGGTTTCTTCCACCAGTAAATTCAAGACAAGGGAAGTGAGGCTTGCCCCCAGACCACCTAGCCTCAATAGAACAGAAAGAGCCTCACTCCCAGTAAAAACGGGTAGGCGAAACATTGATCATAAACGCAATGGACTTTGGTTGCTCTGGGCTAGCAAAAGGGTATTCCGTGAGATTTGATGGATGGACTAACAACAGTTAGACTCAAGAAGTTGGTGACTGGATGGCTGACTGCGCTTGAGGAAAGCAAAGCCCCAGGTTCTAGTGCCTCTCCTGAGGAACCTGAATGACTATCCAAACCACTGGAAAACTGATGCCTTCGCACCTCCCACGTGAGTGGGGAGAGTGAAGAGGGGATGCATTAGAAAGCTCTCAACAAAGGAAAACAGTCCTTGATTTAACACCTTCTGTCCCGAGGCCCCACCGCTCTTGCCCATTACCCCTGTGTGTCACGATCCACTCACTGACAATCTGGGGAAACTCTCTCATCTCCCTGGACGGCCTGTGTCGGTTGACTCAGCTAGCGTGAGGCCAGTTCCCTTAACCTTCCTGGAACCTCTTAACAAATATCCTTGAAAGGCTAAGGACACCCAGAAAAAGAAATATAAAATCAACACTCACTGGATCGTTCCCTCATTTTTAGTCATATTAACAAAGCCCAAAAAGGGCAAGACGATGTCTTGTTTTATTTTACAGAAAATCCCCGTGGGACCTTGACTCAACACAGGAAAGCTGATAGCTGACTTTAACCGTTCATGTTTTATGAGAGAAAAATTGAAGATTTGATCATGCTGCAACGCTGAATACTCTTGATCATATATTTTGATTACATATTTTGGTTGCAATAGTATTATGTTTTGGGTTGCTGTGGTTGTGGGTGGTGACTGATACCAGTATTTGGATCTGTTAAACTTCACACTTGGGTTCAGAGTTTTCACGCGTTATCCTGGCTTACTGGCAACTCCCTGTAGAGTGATATCATTCCTTCTGACTCCTTCTTTCATCCCTTTTTATCATGACTTGCATGTACCTGCTCTATGGTGTTTCCAACTTCCTATCAAACTGGGAAATGAAGCAAGGGACCCATCTAATATCTGTCAGATGTGGTCTGAAAAGAAACCCATCATAAAGCCCTTTGCAATATGGTGTCCAGTGTCAGAAAGTTGTTGATTTAACACCAGTAGAGGAGTTCCATCCAAAACATGGCTGTTGGAAAGTGTCTAAGTTTTGGTAAGAGATGTGTGTGTTTCTGGGGTTACTGGGATTTCTGATGGCTTATACTGGGGGGTATCCTACACACACTATCCTCTGAAAATTCTATAGACTATAATGATACTTGAACTTGTCCGACTAGTAACATATATCTCTCAGCACTTGAATTGCTTTGGAGATTCTCAAATGGAAAATTCTGTTCATATTTAACCTTACAGCAACGTGCAGTGTTGCAGTGTGGTGCAGTGATACCTTCACTCTGCCTAAATAGAGTGTTAAGTTTTGTTAGCCGCAGGACTGATAATCTCTGTGATATTAGAAAACATATTTGCTCCATCTACTGCCCTGGCAAAACACCAAGTCGTCTTTGAAAACGTTACCAGGCAAGTCGACGTATTGCCAGGCTGGACTAGATATGCTTTTTGAGAATTAAACTTGCAAGAGCAACGAGTGCTGAAAATGGCATTGCAAAACCAGTTAGAGCTTGATATGTTGTTACTTAAAGACTTGGGTGTCTGCGGCAAATTGAATGACTCTAATTAATTGTTTCCTAAAAAAAAAAAAAAAAAAAAAAAAGGAAGGAATGAAAATAGTACTTGTTAAATAAATTGCCCACAGGTGAAATGTGTCCTACTATATTTGTTGCAACTCTTGTGTTGGTACCTTGTATGATTGCATGTTTTACTCAACTTATACAATGTGTTGTACTTTGTAATCACTTGTTCTGATGAACAAGTCCAGCAGATCATGGCAACATTTGCAACCAAGCCCACAAAAAACTTTTGTAGTGATTGTGTAGCACTTAACTCCTCCTTCGCCCCCTCTTTCCCTTATGCTTTTTTTTTTTTTTTTTCCTTCTTTTTTTCTTTCCACCATCCTGGATGGTCACTTATGCATCAGTTTCATGCAATCTTCAAGCCACGTGGTGGTGTCTGAAACCTTTTCTGTTTTTGGCCCAAAGTTTGCTTTCCGAGGCATTTCTTGTGAGAAGACTCTTTCATAAGACGTATTGAAGAACCTCCTCTCCCTCCTATAAATTGGAGCAAGACACACCACAAACAGAGTAGGAGACAAAAGCCCAACTTAGATGCAATATAAATTTTATGTTGTTGAAGAACAAACTGCCTGCTGTCTCAGTGAAGCCCAGCGTTACTTAAAATTGTTTATTAATGTTTTGGCATAAGCGGCGAAGAAGGCTGGCCTGCAGGATGACCTGCTTTTAATGCTTGTAGAGTAGCCCTGAGGGACAGAAGAAATTTCACAAATATTCAGTGTGTACACAAAAGCATCACTGCCTTTAGCAAGTTATCTACAGCAACTTAATTCTTAATTTAGAGCCTGTGGTACATATGTTGCTTTTATCACCACAAAGTCCGTTTATTGCCTTGTTTAATCTAAAGATTATAACACACTTAAGAAAACAACCTCCCTCAGAAAAACAACCAAAGAACCAACTGACAGGGAGACTGCCATGTGGTGTCATGGCTGACAAATGGGAGAAATCAGCTCGTGCCAATTGCTCTGTTGCCACACCGGTGTCAGGCTTGAATGAGTTGCTGGGGGTTGCTTGTTGGCACCGTGTGCGTTTTTTCATGCAAGGCTGTGTTGTAAACCTCACTGCTCGTCAAAACGTGATACAAACTGCTCTTTATAAAGCTTCTGAATAAAGCTGTTCTTTCATATCGTGCAAGAAGTGACCCAAAGCCTGTTCCAGCAGGAAAACCACGGGCTTGCTGCTTGGAACCTGCCGCCCTTTTTGAAGGGCCCTTCACACAACCAGGTGATGTGAGACTGCAGCCACAAAAAACTGCTCAGATGCCCACCCCAGCTTACCCTTCCCCAGTGATCCTGCTACTGCTGCCCTTTGTACCTGAGAGTGCATCTCACTCATGAGCATGCCACAGCCGCGGACCAGATGCATGTGGCTGTGCTGTCCCAACTGCTGCCATGCGTCTCCCATTCCCTGGTGACCACAAAAATCAGCTGCCCTCCATGGCAAAGGAGCAGGATGTGCTGCTGCTGACGATGTGGGGCTGATGCTGCTGATGGATGTGGGACTGGAGTGCAGGATCTCCCCTGGCCTGAGTTAGACAAATTGGTTACACAAGTAAGTCCTGCACAAAAAATCCACGCCACATCTTTTCCCTAAAAGGGGATCCATTGCAAATACAGTTGTGTGCTACAGGCATATGTTATGCTTATCTCATACTTCCAGCAGGCTCCTTAGGATGTGGTATTGAGTGTTAATTCTTAGCCAAACGCATGTTTTCGAATACATTTCCAGAGGACTGGAAATGTCTGTTTAAATAGAAATCCTTTCTTATTTGGAAAAATACAAGTGAGAGTATTGCAGCTATCTTTCACCGAGATGCATAGTGAATCATCTGAATGTGCATTCTGCAGACATTTAAACCTACTTATATTTTGTATTAATACAAAGTAGACTGTCACTTCTAATTTATTGTTTTAGCAAGAAGTAGACTGCAAAGGTCAAAATCATCTTAACTGCTTTAAAATCAATTATTGACGATTTTTCTCTCCTCTACCATATTAACTACCTCATACATCAAAACTGCTTTCAACTGCTTTCACAGATGGTCCAAATGCACAAAACCACAATTTAGAAAAAGAACTTTCTACAAGAGTAAAATCTGCCAAACCAAAGCAAGTTTCCTCATCACTGGTGCCATCTTTCTTTCTGATTTATGGAAATGCTATGCAGTTAATCTCGCTCAAAATTCATCAAATTGGAAAAATAAAAGGGTTGTTCTCTCTATAAAATGTTTATGACCACAAAGCAAAGTGCAAGCAGACCAAAGTGCAGCAATAAAGGATGTTTTCAACAGCATTGAATAATTTTGTGTAATTTGCTTTCTGAAAAGCTCGAAAATAAAACAACTGGTCCTGCTCAGTAACCCAGTAAATGCTGTTATGCGCAGAGCAGTGGCAGTTTGAACTCACTGAGTTGGAATTTCGAGAGCCGTTCCCTTCTGGAGAATAAGCGTGTCTGAGTACGGTTATGCTTTACCAGCCAAACACATGCTGAGATTTCATACAGTATGTTCAGCATGTCTGGCATAAGTTACTCAGCAATCTAAAAAACCTGACCACAACACATTATTGCCAGAGGAAGTTTTTCTCCACTGCACATGCAAATGCAAACTTTTTTTTTTTTTTCCCTGAGAAAATATGGTTTTGTTGCTTTCAGACACAATTTGAGGACAGATTGCTTATATGCCAACTACGCGGCCAAATATTGATTCTCATGTTATTTGGATAGCAATCCCCTAACATACTGCATCTATCACACAATTACCTTGTCACTAGCTCTTGAAAGTCTCAAAATACATATATGCACAAGCAGCTTTGTTGATGAGCGTCATTCCCTATACAAATAACACGCAGTTGGGAAAATAACCTAGTTTGTACCTTTTGGGTCAACAAGATGCTCTGACAGCTCTTCGTGCAGATGAAATTAGGAGTTCAGAAGTGTATTTTTGCTTATTCTCTGTGTTTCTTAGCAAACCAAAGATAGCGTTCCTGAACCGATGATGTTGAAAGCGCTGTGAATTCTGCTATTGTCGGCAGATGAAACAGGACTGAGCTTAAATTCAGCATGCAACTAGCTGCTTAAGAATGTATTCAGCTCCAGCTGGTTGAAATCCTAGATAAAGTCCTCTCTTTGCTCTGGCCCTGCTATTTCTAAACTGCATGGACTCTACTACACTCTACTACAGCATTCAAAAAGCACTCAGGAAAAAGACTTGCACATTTTACAATAAACAGGCTTTTTCAGTTTCTGAAGAAGTCAGGGCAAAAAGAAGGTGCATTTTTTTTCTTTTCTCTTCTTTTCTAGAATACGTTTTGAACCAACCATTTCAAGTATAGTACAATCACCGTTTTTCATGTGCATACCTGCATTCCCAGCAGACTACAATCAAATCTCACAAGATTTGTTTCTAGGACAGACCAAAATATCTCAAAAATGAAATGAAGGAAAATTATCCTCTGAAAAGCTAACATCCCTAAATTTCTCACTTTAAGACCTGACATAACCACTCACCTAAACTGTGAACAGAGCCCAAAACTGCGCTATGGGAGACAGCAAGTCAAGGACTGATGCTACCTTGCACATGGTGGTCAAATAGTGGCATGGAGACTTTTGGAAACACCTCAGACAGAATTTAATCAGTTCCATTTACAAATAGAATCATAGAATCATTTAGTTTGAAAAAGACCACTCAGGTTGTCTAGTCCAATTGTAACCTTGCTCTTGGCTCAAAGTGCTCAACCATGTGCTTAAGTCCACTTGTGCGCCTTAAAAACTCTATACAATTACTGAAGAAAAAAATCCAGTGTGAGATTCATCTCCCATATCTCTGTATCTTTCTCTTTATTTTCTGTAGCCTAAAAGGTCTTAGACACCTTATTTGTTCTGAAATAGAAGGGCTCATTTTTAACTATGGTCATATAGAAAATTGTAAATAATGTCATGGCAATAAAAAAAAATTAATATCTGAGCAAGATAAATCCATCAATGACATGAAACATTCCTTCACTTCTACTCTTTCCTTTCTTAACTGATAATGTTTGGAACAAGGATTGTACTTCTCGGTAGCCTGTGAATTAGCCAACATTCATGTGTTATTGTTTTCAAGCAGTTAAAAACTGCTCCAGAGCCTCCGATCTGCAAGCCTGTCTCCAGTAGCTTGTTGGATTGCGCTGGGAGATAATGGATTGACATCATTCCTGGTCTTGGCCAAGTGCTGTTGCTACAGTGCTCAAGGTCATTCACGGCTTACCTCTGTGTGTGCTGGGTGATCTACAGCAGTGCTCAGCCGTGCTGATGTGTTCATCGTTCTCTGAAGGCAGTGACCAATGTTGAGCAGCTGGCTGTTTGATCTTCCCACTGCTTTGCAGGCAGTACCATGCTGCTCAGAAAATTAAAGGGGAAAAAACACCATTGAAAACATTTATCAGCTAACGTCATAGAACCACGCTTGACCTCCATATCTTCTCTTGTTCCCCAAAGGCAACACGTGTAAAGCGTTTCCTGTCTTTCATGTTAACTGGAATGCATCATGAGGTCCAAATGTACAACCTGCTGTCTGTTTTAGTCATTAGGCATAATTTTCTTTGTCTCTTGATTAGAGCTTCAGCCAACTGTTCACTGTTGTAATGCATAACTCTTTTATTATTCCCTCCCTCCCCTGAACAAACGACTAACTAACCAGTCAGGTTGAAAGTTGAAATTCACTCAAGGCTGCTGTGTCTTACACTGTCTTTTTTTTCCACATCAGCACATCCTCCTTTGCTCAGGACCACCAAAACAGAGTAAATAACGTCCACCTTTCCACCTTTTATTGAAAGGCTGAAAAACAGATGGTAGTTAAAAACAATTAAAAGGAACTCCTAGATTTCAAGATATGTTCTGCCCCCACATCCGTCTGCTTGAGCATGATAGTTGTAGTTTACTTGCTGCAACTTGGCTCTATATTTGCGGATTTCAGTAACACTGAAGGAGTATTTTTCTAGAATGATGTCCAGTTTGCAGATACATGCTAGAAATTAAGAAATGAAGCTGTTGTGTTATCTTCTCCATCTGCAGTATGCTGGAAGATTGCTCACAAAATTGTTACTTGGTATTTTCACTTCTGACCGTCTTCAAACTCAGCTGACAGCAGCTTAGAAGGGTCGTAAAACATACACAAAGACAGCAAAATACCAGCCTGGCTATCTTTTGATCCCAACAGGCGATACGCATGTACTGGTTATGCCCTCATTCCACTAACATTATGTATATACATGCAGCAAATGTCCTTAACATGAAAGAAAACCTTGGAATCCCTGATCATACTTACGATAATAAATCTTCATCAGTGATCTTAGGTCAGAAAAAAAACAAAACTGAAAATTGTGTACAGGCTGAACTGTTATCGACTTTGAAAACTAGATCAGCTAGAAGAATCTTGCCCTGGAAGTGATGAAGCAAATACAAATATGTATATGTGCATATAAATGAATAAATATAAATAAATAAATACATACATACATATATAAATAAGCAAACAAATAAATAAATAAAGCTATCCATGAGGCTATCCCCTAATTCCTATGATAAGAGTCTGTACCACAAGGAGCAAAGTTAGCAAAACTTGAGTTCCTTTGTCCCCAATATCTCCACCCAGTGCAATAACCTGACCATCTGCTCCCTTTGCTACAGCCCTGGCTGCAGATACCTGCAGTGGCCAGTCTGGAGATGGAGACGTGGGCTGGCCCCGCAGCTCCCATCAAACCCTTGTAACTGATGGTTTCTGACAGTGCTTCTGTGTGCAAGAGCACTACCATTAATTTTTTTCCTTCTAACCAGTTTTCAATTCTCATAGACCTCATAGGAAATTAAGGTGATTAAAACCTATCTCAACTTCAGCTGGAACTGCTCATCCACCTCCAAGGCTGATGAAGGAGAGGCTGGCCAGCCGGTTGGATGCAGAGGGCTGGTTGTGAAGTTACAAGCAGCCCATTCCTCTCATTCAGCACAAACAGCCAAACTCTGAGCATTAGAAGTATAACAATCTGTGACCACGTTACATCAACAGTTCAACAGCTATTTTGTAACTTATAAGGCAGTTTCATATTTTCTTGTTTGCTGCTTGACATCAGCCTTTGAAAGCAAGCTGAAAGACTCCAGCTTACCTCACCCGCTCTTCTGCAGACACAGTGGTGTCACTCCTCTGTGTCCCATCTTATATCTCAAGGACTGGTCTCATTTTGTTTAGAATTACAAGGCAGAAAACAGACAAAAAATACATTTCAAATGCTAGGAACATCTGCCAGTTTTTCACTTAAAAACCCTGTCCTGAAAGGAGGGAAAATATTGAATTGAATTATTCCACAGCAGCAGAAGTTTCAGCCTTTCCAAGAAAAGTTGCAGGATCCCAGGCATACATCACTTCTTTGGAAGTATGGGATACTACAGCTATTTTTGCTCAAGGACTTCAACCAGAGGTAGCAGTCTTTAACAGAAAGTGCCTGCTCAAGCCAAACGCCTCTCAGACTCCCTTTTCCCAGGCCTCGCCTGACCATACCTATTTACTTGAAAGGTGTGAGCTCTGGTGGAGTACAGGTGTAAGTTATTCCATTGGCAGTTACTTTCCTTAGGGACGCCTACCTGCGCGACCTGGTGTAGGGAACCTGCTTTGGCGGGGAGGTTGGACTCGATGATCTCTGGAGGTCCCTTCCAGCCCCTGCAATTCTGTGATTCTTATAGCTCAGATAAATTAATTGACTCTCACTATCCACTTAGGCCCTGGATTTTCTTGTTAATTTTAAACAGATACTACACAGGTCATTCTGGGAAAGCTGTCATAGAAAGAATTACAAACATCTTTAAAGCAGGAAGATTCTGCCTACAAGACAAATATCTCTAATTCAATCCATCAAAAATTGTCTGAATAAATCAATAGAGCAATAAGATCTGCTTGCCTGATAGATGGTATCTCTACTCATAGAAATTACTTAGTTACTTCATCATTCATGGAAATTTGCATCACCATCAGTCACGTTTGTTATTCACAAAGCTTTGTAGAAGATTAAAACAAAAGAAAAAGCAAATAAGCATAAAAGTCCATCTCCAATACTTCAGACTATGGCAAATTATCATCCTCTTCCAACAGCAAAAAGGCTATGGCAGGTTGGAGACACGGTGTTTGACGCTGGCATTACCATCAGGTATATTCATACTGTCCCTTAAACAAAGTTTATTTACTAATTTATTTACTTAGTCTTGCAAAGTCCAATCAAATCATGTGTCCTTTTCTTCAATACCGGTTTTATTTTCTGTGAACTCATAGTTGGCTCCAAATAACAAGTTTGATATCACATCCAAATGGGATCAGAAATACTGCACAAGATATGTATTTAATACTTCACACGACCACATCTAATTTCAGTAAGCGTAGTCCCAATACTGCATTACGTAGTCCCATATATATACGTAGCATACATACATATATATATATATATATATGTAGTCCCAATACTGCATTCAAGCAACAGCAAGTCTTCACTTGCTGCTCACTGAGGCAGGAAATATAGCTTTTCCATATTTTGAGGTTGATTTGCCACAATGTCACATGTTCAGCCTCATGCACAGACATTAGTCTTTTTTTTTTTTTTGTGGTCAGTTTAGATAAATTGACTGTGCCATCCATAGCTCTACAGATCATAGTATGCAACCCAATATATAGTTTGGAGTCACAGTATAAAAAACACAAACCCTTAACTACTTCCACAACATTCTTAAGTCACAAACAGACTTATTGAGAAAGGGTAGACATTGCGGTTCAACTCAGTCTGTCCATTTTGACCATTTACATATACCTTTATATACCTACATATACCTTACATATACCTGCAAACAAATTTCATGATCACTCATAAGTTACAGCCCCAAATTTACAATTGCTACCTAACTGTCATGGTTTTATGATTTTTGGTTATCGATATTCCACATCATAACATCATGTAGTACGCTAGGAGTTTAACTGTTAATGCTCCTGTTCTGGGCACTGTCCGGAAGAGAAGAAGAGCTACATACCCCAGGGGGCGGTCAGAGAGGAGATATAACCCCTGGCAAGGTCATCTGATGTTCTCTTCTTTGCCTCCCTGCTGCTCAACCAGACTGCACATCTCACCTCAGCGCTATGGTGAGGCCTATCCACCTTTTGGACACTCTCATTATATTTGATTTACTACCTTTAATTCTAGCTATATTGTAGTGTGTTATCTTGCATTCTGATACTATATTTAGTAAATTAGTTTATTCTCCTCAGATCGTTGCCACTGTTTTTCACTATTTTGGGGTCCCCTGTTTCCTTTTTCCAGAGGTGCGGCTTATGCAAAATCCTTCTGCCCCGTTAGTCACAGAAGCGGGCTGACCAGCCCGTAAACCATTGACAGTAACAGATATCCAAAAAAGCAAACCTAGGAATGCAACTTAACCCAGCAGTGTTCAGGCCTCTTTAAAAATAGACAGTCTGACAAAAAACCATGCATCTAAATGACTTTGCTAATAAATGGGTAAGCAGTTGTCACCCCAGATAAACAACATCTGACGGGCAAGATGGATGGCTGTGAAAAGTAACCAAGAGCATTTTGAGAAGACAAAATTGATACTGACCAAATCAGGCAGAAGTCAGAGCAGTGGCTCAACAGAAGAGAAAATCTGTGGAGGATAACCAATAGTGCTGGCTTATTTTAAGCACGTCTTACAGAGCCTGTGGGCTACATTTCACTGTAGCTTTGTCCAAAATCAAGCTAAGTTTAAAAATATGTATAATTGAAAGTGATTTATAAGTGCTTGGGTGGCAGCGACAGGGCAGACTGAAAGACATTAACATTAATGTGTATTTTGGGGAACTTGGAACAAAAGTAATGCCTTATCTTCTATGAACTGCATAACTTGTATGAATTACTCAGTGCCCACAGACTAAAAAATTTTGCTAAAGGAAAAAAGGTAGCCCTGTATTTCTTTTGATCATTGAAAGAAACGGGACCGTGCTAAGGGGAAAGTGAGTCTGGCACATTAAAAATCATTGCTAAGGAAAGCACTAGTGGCCAGACCACACTCGTGATTCAGTCAACTGCCTGCAACTAGGCAATAGGAATGGTTTAAATTCTCAGCTTTTCTGAAGGATGAAGCTTTCTCCCTGCTCATCTTTGCCACCATATGAAGAACTGAGAGAGCGTCTGGCAATGAAGAACACGTTAATCATGTTATTGTGACAACCACAACTGTTATGAAACAGATATTCTTACAGCACATACTAACCTCCCCTGACACTTTTTTTTTCCTCATTCAAAACCTGTTCAACATTCACTTCAAACACACTGAGACACATCTCTAGAAAATCACCGATGCCAGGAAGAAATCTGTTTCAGGTATGTGCAACAGAAGCTGCCTGTAATACGCTAGTGGTATTTATTGTCTGGATGTACCTTTGTTCCCGAATCTGAAGTCATGCAAATATTTCTCAGAAAAGATGTCTTTGAACAGTCTTCAGGAACAACCAACTGTGAGACAAAATGTCTGACTGAAACATATATATCTTTGATTTAGCTCTATAATTTATTCTTACCTGAATATTTACTCTTTACAGTGGAAAGCGATACGGAAATTTTTGAACAAAGCTGAGCTCAAACACACACAGTGTGAAATTATTGTCAAAGCTAATATTTAAAGTTTTCAAATGTGCTTAACAAATATTACAGAAGCAATGTCTGTAGAATAATGTGGATGGACAAAAATAGGATTGCTTTTGGAACACTTTGGTCTAGGAAGAATTCCTAGCAGACTGACTCTTCTCCTAGAAGAGACACCTTACTGGACATTGTGAAGTGTTATAACATTATCTGAAAAGGCATTAATGGAAGCAGGGTCAGTCATTACCTTCCATGGCCCTACAGAGTGCACGAGAGGGCTTGCTGCTGAACATCCAACGCGGCCTACAATCTCCACTCTGGGATGATGAATGGCGTTTCTGCTCCATCACCTGCAAAATTTCCAGCCTTTTCATACTGCTATTATACTGCATTTCTGTTAGGTTAAATGGAAAATAGCTGTGCTACTTACACATGTTGCACATTCAAACATATAAATGTTGGTAATTTAGTCCTGACTGCTATAGTTGGTCATTTTGAAAATATCTTCTACAGCCACCGTACAATTATGTAATTATTTGCCTGCTCAGTCATCACAGGCAGGAAAGTATAAAAAATATAAATTTTGGCAGTGAGAAATCAAAGTCAGTATAGAAAACCAAGTGCTGTTCATTGGGCTCATAAAGCTAAATCACATCTGCATCTTCACTAGCACTGCATTGCATGGCCTGACAGAAGAGTACCAGGAAAGTGTCAGGGATCCAGACTCCTAACTATTCTTCCTCCACTCTGCTCATGAAGTTGCTGAACCCCTTTTACAGCTGAAGATGGAGCCTGGCTAGATTTTGTCATGCACTTAAAAGGTCCATAGTGAGGCAGTCCTAATCATAATGTGCAAGGACAGTAACGATGTTACTCTGCCATTTGCTCCTTTACAGCAAGTGGGACAACTCCATTTTATGTATTAGCGGATTTGCTGAACACTCAAATAGGGATAACACAGTATTACTGGAGCAAAATGATCTTTGTAGCTTTGATGAAGACTCAAAGGGATGGGAACAACTGATGACAAGATGGTGCAGAGAAGAATCTCTTCGTAAGTCCATTAATAGGCTCTATGACAGGGACTACAGTAAATTCAATTTTTTCCAACAGTATTAGTCTAAGTGTAACTTTCAGGCAAACTTTCTACAAAAGAGAGAAATAAAAGAGAGATACAGGAATGAATAAAGAAGAAAAAAAGAAAGAAAGAAGAAGAGAAAAGAAAAACAGAAAAAGAAAGCTTAACGAAGCAAGGACTCTCTTCCAAATTTTTGTAGAAATGCCTTGCTGCTGAAGATACTAGAGAGGACTCAGTCTAGCAGCCAGAATGTTGGAAAGCAGCTTAGTGTTGAAGCAAGGCAACTGAAGAAAACCTGCTCTAAATGTTAAAATCTAATAATTCTGTCTTACAGGGAGAAAGAGTCAGGAACCCAAAGTAAATATCCACTTGTCATAGCAGCAAATCGCTAGGTGTCTGCTAACTACAAGTTTGAAAGATGCCATGGAGCAAGCAAGGCAGTTCTAGGTGTATTTGATTAGTTTAATAACTGAAGAGCTTGAGTTCTTTCCTAGAGTCAACAAATTCAGCAAAGAGCCTCTACATTAATTGCAACCACATCATGTTCTTTTAGAATATGAGAAACACAACAATCCCTATAAAGACTGTAAAACAGCCATTGTCATTTGGGGATGCTATTAATCAATGCTTTCTCGTGTATTTTGCCTTCACAGCTCCCTTGCCTAGATTTCAGTGAAACAGCTCACTGGGTTTTAACTAAAAGCAGAATGGCCATGTACAGCCATGCAAGAGGCTCAGTGTTTTCATTCCAGCACTCTGAATGTTTACCTCTGACCCCTCCTGCCAAGGGAGACCCTGACATGTCCACAGGCATTACGAGCACTACAATGAGCAGTCCCACAAAAAGGATTGGAAATACCTCCTTCATTCTGAGAGTACCTTCCACATTTAGACACTCCCCACATTGTTGCTTTTTTCTCCACTCCTAGAAAATCAAGAGATGCTACAAGAGGAGAGAGGCTAAACTCTTCTTGCACTAACTCAAATAGGCTGTTTTTCTATAAAGAACAAGGCTAGGCTCCCAGGCAATAGAAAACAGGTAGAAAGAGGGAGAGATGACTAGTGTCTCGCAGTGCTGGTACAAGCTAAACTACTTTGTACTTCAGTTCCTTAGAAATTGATACACAGGTTATAGCGGACCACAGACAGGACAGGCGTGAACAATATCGCTTTGCAAAAAGCTTCAGATACCATGCTGAGCTGTATAAGTGGGAACACAACTTTCAAGGGAAGCTATCTCCTCACTTATCTGAGCAGCCACGGTAGAAGCCCTCAGCTGCCGTACTGTGTCTACTTTCATGCACCATACTGCAAAGATCACAGACTATCCTGAATTGGAAGGGGCCTGTAAGAATCATCAAGTCCAACTCCTGGCTCCACATAGGACCAAAGATGTGGTTTAATGGGGGGAAGAAGCCAGAAGACAGAAAAAAATATCATTGAACAATACAAACTTTGAGGAAAAGCTGACTATATCAGAGATTTTCAGCCTGAAGAAGAGTGGACAAGTGAGTGCAGATAAGTCTTGATGGATCTAAAATGCTGCTCCAAAAAAAGGAACATGTTTATGTTCTCCATACGCACCAGGGAGTAAGACCAGAAATTATGTAAAAGACAGCCTGGAATACTTAAACTCAATATTAAGGCAAATCTTTTGTCATTAAGAGCAAGCATTTGCCTAAAAAAGCTGCACTCTTGTCTTCACTCCTTAAACAATTAGGGTTGTTTTTTGTTGTGGTAGGTTTTTTGTTGTTGTTGTTGTTGTTTGTTTTTGTTTATTTGTTTAGTACAGATCTCATGCTTTAGGGCAGGAAATCAGATTTAAGGCCATCTCAAGATCCATTCTGGTTGTCTGACTGTACAGCTCAGCAACCTTCACTCCCAAATTTCCCACTCACCATTTTAATAGTCTTCTGTATCAGCTTAAACTCCTGCACAAACCTCCCAGGAATGCTGAGCAGATATATTTGCACTCCCAAGACATTCCCTGGGAAAGACAGGAATATTACTCATTTAAGTTGAAAAAAAGGAAAATAATAATAATAATAATAATAATAATAATAAAATACAAACAAACACAGAACAGAAACCAACAGTGATCAAACAGGATTGTTATCTCATTGAGAAGTAAAACATGAGACAGAAAACACACTTGATAAAATAAGGTAGTGGCAGGCACTCCAGTAAAAAAAAAAAAAAAAAAAAAAAAAGTTACAACGGGTATAGATGTTCTGTTAGCAAGCTGGAAGAAAGCAGACATGTTCCATTTCTCCATAAAGCTACTATATACCCTTGCTGGAGCAGAGAAGTAGAACTCATTCTACCAGCTTGAGTCACAGCCAGCATAGCGGGGGCTGCTGTTTGGTCCGTGCTGGATATCTTCACACTGCACTGGCTGATTTAGTGCCACTGTGCTTTGCAGCATCAGTAGCTGAAGCATTTTTCCAGACACCCAGAAAGCAACTTTGTACGTTAGAGGATACCTTTGGAGTGCCTTCTATATCCCTCCCTTTTTGTTTCTTTCCTTTTCCTGATAAGTAAAGTAGGAATTATTTAGTTCAGATTTACTTCTTACGACCAATCTGTTAAAGAAGTCCTCCGAGCCTAGCAGCCCATAGCTGGGCTCCAGTGCTCTTATCACAGAAACATGAAGAAGAGGACGAAAAGGATCTCAGTTAGCCATTCCCCACCCATAAATCAGGCAGGCAGAAAGAAGACAGCTGGGTAAGACAAGCCTGCAATAGAGTTGTTCTTCCATGTGGCTTTATGGAGCAGTTAACTTTTATTACCTGGTAATTACTATGTGAGATTTCAGACAAGCTGACTCTACAGCCCACATGACAATGGGGTTGCGTGGGCAGCTGGCTTGCGAAGATCCTGCTGCAAGACTGATGCTGCAAAGGGGGAAGCTGGTCCATTGGGAAAACTGAGTCCAAGAATATAGCTTGGCTATACATCGATACAGTTAGTACAAATACCAGCTCTCAAGGCAAAAATAGAAAATTAAAATGGAACCTGCAAAAAGAATACAGTGAATAGGAAGAAGGTATCAGATGCAGACTTAAAGCACAGAACAATAAACATAAGAACAATAAGGCCTGGATAGCAGGTGAGCAGGGATTGCGGGACAAAAATGTGCCCATGAACAGAAATGCAAAGAGCCTCAGAGCTGAGATGGGAAGGCTAAGATCCGTGCTGCAGAACAGACACTTGCTTATAATGAGACCACTGTAGCTGGTCCAACAGGGAGCAAGAGAAGTGAGTTAGAAGAGGAGAAATGACACAGGGAATATGCACAATTCTAAGCAGAAGCAGTATACTCCATCATACAACAGCTGTTGCTTTAAAACTTTGGGTACTACTAGCGAGAAAATTGTTTGATATATTTTTCTTCATTGTTCATTACTACAATACTACTTCTTCATGTAGGCAGTAATGCAGAATATTTGTGAACAGAACCTGATAATACTTGAAGGATCAGTAATAGCCTCTGTGGAGGCATGGATTTTTCTGAAACGTGAGCATTTTGGGGGACCTCAGAGTACTTTCAGTGAACAGATGCCAGTTGATTACTTAGTCGACCGACAGAGATGTTTTGATCCTGTGTACCTGTTCTAAACTACATTTAAACCTTAAAGATAAAAAGATATCAAACAATCCTAACCCATGTGATAAACAGATGCCAAAGTTTCCTAGCTCTTCTGTTCATTCTCTGCAATAAAAAGCAAAAGCTATGGTTGATTTACTGTGCACTCAAATGTTGGGAGAATCCAGGAACATGTGGGATCAATTTAGGTCGGGATCAAAACCCCATAATTTAGCAAGAGAGCAGCTTCCAAACTAAGCTCATGTTTTTTCAGCCTGTACTTTTTGTGCAGTTACTATGTGCCAGTACCTCGTAAATGTCCTAAGAACTGAAACAACCCTATTCTTCATTGGTAGCAGCTTTTGCTCCCCTAACTTAGAAATACCCATTCTAGCATAATTCCACATCGGCAGTCCTTGCAGCTATTCAGTTGCAATCTGACCTCCAGGTCTGATGGCAGCTGAGCTGTTAACAGAGTTTTCTCATTGCCAGTAAGAGAACAGAATCTTCTGTTTTTCGTTTTTGTCTAACATCTATCTCAGTTCAGCTAAGACCTCTGCTCCCCTGTAGAGTTGGCCAAAGAGTGGGAGATCTCAGGGATAAGAGCGAGACTCTAGTTCCAGCAGAAGTATGTGAGAGAGAGGAGTAAGCTACAAAAGCAGCTAAAAGACTCTCTCTCATGAGCTGCTTCGTCTGTGTAACACAGATAATAATGCACATTTGAAACGTTTTGGTTTCTGTACTGTGTGCTCATCCACATGGCGTTGTTAAAGTCTGGTTATTTCCGATCCCACTGCATTAAAACAGCAAGCTCAGAAGAGTGTTGTGCAGCAGACAAATTGGACACGCATCAGAGACCCAACTTGAACATATTTGTTAGAGGAATGGTGCTTTTTGATGAGAGCCAAAAACTTGTCTTTATCACAGAAGTTGCTGTCTGCAGGGGGAGTCATGGCTGAGAGCAGTGCTGGGGGAAGAGCAGCCAAACAACTGGTATCTCACTCAAACAACACAGGGACATGCTGCGCTCAGGAAGTGGTGGAAGAATGAGCAAAATCACACCACAGACTAAATCAAGAGAGACCTCTGCTCTGCTTTGTACAGTCTACAGCTGTTGCGACACCCACAGACTTATTTGAAACGTAAAACATGAGCTGAAAATGAGCTGTTGGAATATTTTTTGTTGTTGTTTTCTTTCTTTTTACCATTTGAATGTGTGCAGAAGATATACTCTGTGTATTGAATGGTTTCCTAAGAAGAAAATTACAGAGGCAGGAAAAGTACCCTGGGATTTATGCAGACAGTGCAATTTCAGTTTCAGGAAGGAAACTTTGGCAAGTTGTTATACGCGTTCACAAAATGGTCTCTGAAAACATCTGAGTGGGGAGCGCCATGATATTTGTGGGATGCACTGAAAGGCAGCCAACATGGCAAGTATCCTGGGTGCTTCTCTGACAATAATGAGCTCTATCAAACTTTGGCTAGTGATGTCAAAATATTTTCAGCTTGTAGTCACGAAATGGGCAACAAGCACACAAGCTCACTGCTTCGTGCTAACATATGTTAAGTCTCAAGAGATTAAGTCCTCATCTGCTTCCAAACTATGTAAAAAACATACCTTTTCTTCCTGCCCATGCTTTTGAAGTGCAGCAGCCCAGACACAAGTTACAGCTTCACAGGACTTCTATTCTCAGATATTTCTCCTTACATAACAGCTTCAGTGTAGACCTGTAGAGGAAATCATAGGCAGTTTTCAGCGTGTGTAGCAAAACCAAGCCTTCGTTGAACATGGATTTGTTGACATGAGCAAAAATGCTTTGACAGACTGATAACTGAGAAGTTCAGAGTGTTGTAACAGGGACAGCACAGAACCTGTAACTAAAGCAGTTTGTGCTTCCCTGAAATAAGCTGGGCAGAAAAATACCAGATTTGACCTAAACTTTCCAAGACTGTCTTTGGACCTGGTACAATCGATTACAATGTAAATTATTCACTGATGATGGACAAAGTTGAAATAAAGCACACTTGCTGGTACTGATTTAAAGAAGGAGCAGCGCAACACTTCTGATAGCCTACTGCAGTCCTAGTGACATTCCCAGCATTGTCAGGTATTTTGTGAATGTGGCTTTTCAACTTCAGAACTGAGACAATCTATAAATTGAACAAGCTGGATCTACCAGTGATCCTACAGCACTTCTGCCTGCTTTAAGTAAATAAAAAACAAAACAACATCCTGAATCACTCAACCCTCAATCACTTCTCTAATGAGCTATAACGTATTAAATCATAGGTATGAGTCAACAATATCATACTGCTGGGAAAAAAATGGAAGACCATTCCGGGAAAAATAAACGAATAAACAGCAATATCATCTGTAGAGCACATGGCACACCACCGGCACTCAGCTCAGTGATGGGAAGCATGTGACTTGGCTGCAGGCACCAGAAATTCAGGAGGATATGATACAGACAGGGTAGAAAAGAACAGAAATAAGGATGTTGAGGAGTCGTGGAAAGGTGGCTTATTAGAAAAGGCTGAAGGACAAGGGCTGTTCACTCTGGGATATGAAAAGCAACCCTCGAGGTATTTTACAGAGGTCTGCAGATGTGTGGAGCAGTTAAGAAGAAAGGAGTAGTTTGTTTTACACACTTTGGCCCCTTAAACAACATTAAGCTCAATGAAGACCGACCAGTGCCAGAGACACAAGTGAGCCAGCATCCCTGCTGTGACTTTTACTGTATCAGGAATTATGAATTTCTACAATATTATTTAGCTACTTTCCTCTCAATCTGATAGTCATAAAAAATCCTCTCAATCTGATAGTCATACATTCCTCGTATTCATGTAAGTATTTGCTCTGAAGTTGCCTTCCCTCATGGCCAAAGCAAGAGAGTGCTCAGTACTTCCTCTTCTGGTGCCCACCTGGCCCTCAGCTTCAAGCTGCTTCACTCTGATCTTCCTCTTTTCTGTTTGCTGTTATGAGTTCATTAGTGGTTTGCATATCTTTGTCTCAGCCTGCTCCTCCAGCTGTTGGGAAATACGCTGGGTCCCCATCCTTGACCCAGAAATGTTCTCTGCTCAGCACAGCTAAAATAAGAGAGACTTGATTGTTTCCATGGACTGATCAGCTCTCACGTTAGAATCATACAATCATTAAGGTTGGAAAGAGCACTAAAATAATCCAGTCAAACCGTGAACCCCCTGTCAAAGCTCTAAATCACGTCTTTCATCGCCACATCCACCCTTTTCTTGAATACCTTTAGGAACTGTGACTCTGACTCCACCATCTCTCTGAGCAGCCTGTTCCAGTGCATCACCTCCCTTTCTGAGAAAAAATTCTTCCTGATATCCAACCTGAATCTCCTCTGGTGCAGCTTAAAGCCATTGCCTCTCATCCTATCACTGACCTTGGATAGATCACTTGCTCTGGAAACACAGGTGAAATACACTGTATAGGAATGTAAAGTACCTAGAGTTTACATAAACATGGAGCAGCAAAATGCAAAATACAAGGCATCCAGTTCGCGTTCTAGTGGGAAACACAATAACACTGTTAGAGATAAAAGCAAAGGAACAAAGAGAAAGAAAAGAAATAAAGGAATTTGTGCAAGTATCTAGGACATTTCTCTAAGGTTAGACCTACAGCTGTACAGACCAACACAGGCACCCACGAATTGGACACAACCACATTCCCATTAGTAGAACACACACAGGAGTCTGCACACACACTGTGTGTCTGCAAGCACAGCAGGAGCTTAATCTGGAGGGCAAGTGAAAAACAAGTGAATTACACTTTTTAAAAGTACTAAGTCAATCACCCTGGAGAGTGGAGGTTCAGATCTATAGAGATCATTGTAAATCCTTTCAGATGAAGTAAATTTGTTCTAACCTACATAAAATTAAACTGTGAAATAATCTAGGAGAAATTACAAATCTGAGCACGGTTTATTCTTGGTGTCCTCAATTCAGCATCTACTCTGAGGCTCCACGTCCTGGCAGACATTCGTGCAGTCCCCGCCACTTCCAGTTCTTTCCCCACCACCACAGCCCTTTTAAAGAATGAGGCACAGAATGCTCCCATACACAGAAACAGCACAGATGTTGGAGCTAAATGGAAACAAGTGATTCAGAAAGGTCCTGGCACTCCTCCTTCTGTTACCCAAATGCAGTCCTTGTGCATGTTTACAGTACAACTGAACCATCTTAAACAGCTTAACATGTATTCCTGCTATGTGGCATGGTTCAGTGTTGGCTGTGCAGGGACAAATAACTCCTAAGGAGATTATCTTGAGCAGACAAACATAGATGACAGCCAAAAATTAAAGAAATTCTGTCTTTCATTTCTACTTAACATTTTGATTGATTTATTGTAAAATACATTTCCTTTTTCTTCAATCAACATCCCTATCAACAGCACTTAAATAAATATATGTACAATTCACAGAATTGTAGCATCGTAAAGCTTGGAAAGGACCGCTAAGATCACCCAGTCCTACTGTCAACCCATCTCCACCATGCCCACTAAGCCATGTCCCTCAGTGCCACATCTCTGCATTTCTTGAACACCTCCAGGGACAGTGACTCCACCATCTCCCTGGGAAGCTTGTGCCACTGCATCACCACTCTTTCTGAGAAGAAATTTTTCCTAATACCTGACTCCTGGCATAAGCTTAAGGTCATTCCCTCTTGTCCTCTCACTGTTACCTAGGAGGCCAATTCCACCTCACCACAACCTCCTTTCCGGTAGTTGCGGAGCCATAAGGTCTTCCCTGAGCCTCCTCTTCCCCAGACTCCCAGCTCCCTTAGCCACTCCCCATAAGACTTGTGCTCCAGATCTTTCACAGTTTCCTTGCCCTTCTCTGGATGTGCTCCAGGGCCTGAATGTCTTTCTCACAGTGAGGAGTAATTCTTGCTGTAGTAAAACAGTTTTAAATGATTCAAAAAACTATTGGCTGGCACACAAAGCCTCACGTTGGCTGCAGTTTCAACCAACCATCTGAGGCTGTCTGTGCAGTAAGCATATGTGTGTTCCAGCAGGTCCCATGGATATCACCCTCAATAATGAGAAAGGGCCCCGAGGAAATGCTCATCCATGAGCAAATGTGTCCCAACTGATCTGCTCCTGACACCAGTTCTAGCAAGCTGTTTCTCAAGGGTGTTTTTTTTTTTTTTTTTTTTTGCATGATGCAGAAGAAGTATGCCAAGAAAATATCCTTAACCGAGCAAAAGCTTCCTACAGATTGGGAACAGCAGGACAGGAGGGACTCAAAGAGAACTACACCCGTGGGAGGTTGCTCTCATCCTATGGTAGTTGAAAAGACCTGGAGCAGCAGCCTGAGCAAGCTGTTCAGCTAAAAAGACAGCTAATACCTTTGGTTTCACACTCACTGGTATTTTGAACATCTATAATAATACAAAAAAACCTCCCAACTTTCTAGCTGTAATAAGCCAAGAGAATCGTTGCCAGTTGTTAAAGTTTTCCTCTGATCATAATGCATTTATTTTTCCTGTCTGAGTTTTCTCACCATCATTTTTTTTTCAGAAAGAGACTGTCTTTCTTTTTGCAAACCCAAATCATAATTCTTTCATAAACTGTCCCCCAGAAAGCTATTGGCAGCAACTGAAAGGATTTTATTCTTGTGTAAAGGCAGAGCAGTGTTATTTCTAAAGGAGTATTTTTTAAAATTTATTTTTAGAGGTAACATTTTTGCATTTAAATGTCCTTCTACCAAGTTAAAATGATTCCAAGCATCTCCACTCACCTGAGTATTCCATTTTAAATTTGGGGAAAACAGAGAAAGGGAGCAGGTAAGGAGAGAAACAATTGAAAAAAGAGAAATCTTGTTCAGAATCATGTGTTGATAAACAAATAATGGAAAAATATTTCAAATTTTCAGTGCGCAAGTACCTCAAGTTCCCAGCAAATCTGTCAGTGACAGAATGGACAAGGAGCTGAGAACTTTCTTGGAGTCCATTCATAACCCTATGTTTGCATTTGGCAAACTGTCTCACTGTTACATCTCTTCCCCTTTAACATGAGTATTATTCTTGTATTACACAAAAAGTATTGGTTTTTAACTGCTAATCTTCCAGCATTTTCTGTATCATTGGAACAGACATAAAAGTTCAGGTATTTTCCTGAAATGAAAACATTTTATGTAGTCTGAGTTTCTTCTGTATTTTAAATGACTCGCACTACTTTTAATAGCATGAATTTAATAGTTTTCATTATCTAGAGCCCCTTATTTTAAACAAAAAACATAGGTGATAACATTCTTGTATTCATACCAGGCTGCTCACGGAGGCGACAGAGTCTTTGTCCTTGGAGGTTTTCCAGAAAGTGGTGGATGAAGCATGAAGGAACAAGCTCTAGAGCTGGTCGTGAAATAGGCGTGGCTTGAGAGTAGAACTAGACAATCGTCTTTCCAATTTTAATGATTCTATGATAACAACATATATTACTTTTCCTCTGTGTATTTTCATTTTATACACCAACTATGTGTTGATTCTTGAAGTGTATCCACAATTTCTCGTAAGGGGGGCACATTATTCAAGTTTATTCTAACTGATGCAGTTGTGACTTTTTAACACAATGGAGCTATTCATACTGGGGAACCACACTCTATGCTGGATCTCAAATAAATACACCAACTCAGGTAATGTGAATGCTAGTATTTCGCTGAAACTTTTTATTAGAATTTCGTCTGGGTAAATCCTTCATCACAGCTTCATCAGCCTTCTGGGGAGAGCAGAGATTCCTGTGGGATGCTTAAACCCGCCCAGGTAAGTCAGAATCCATCTCTTCCCAAAGAGAAGAGATGGATTCATCTGCAAAATTTTTCACTACCTATCCCTACATGTCTTTCCCCACTAATGACAACTTGAGCTGAAATGAAAAACACAGACCATGATAGTCTTGTCTTGGAACCTTTAGAAATAAAAGCAGCTTTCAAAATGCAAAGAAGCAAAAAGTAGGTTTCAGTGGAACTTCTAATAGGCTGTGAATTACACTTGCGCTTAATTAAATTACTGTACTGAATCCGGTTCTGAATTAAAGTGAGATACTCTTCTGTGTTTATTTTGTTTGGATAATTAAAGACAGTAACAAAACAGGTCTTTAGAGCTAAGGTAATCTGAAACTTTAGCAATTAAATTTTTGTGTGTTTAAGCACCCAGCACCAGCAAACGCAGGTATAGGTGAATGTTGTTCTTCAGCTGCTCCCCTCTACTATGAAAACAAAAGCAGAAAATTATTGAGAACCTATCTTACTCATCCGGAATAATCTGGGAATACTTTCTTTCAGGCCATTAAATGGTCTGTGTTCCCCCTGGCACTCGTTTTCTGGGCCCTCTGAAGGCAACAAGCAGGAGTATAAGCTATTTGCTTATTTAACTCAAGAAATAGGAAGATACGTTGAAGAGGTTGCTTTTTCTTGAGAGAGGGATAAAATTTTATATGGACTTTTATCAAACCCAGTTCTCATCTCTTAGGCTCTTCCTTACTGTCTCAGTCAGTTTTGAAGCTTTTCTATACCAAGTTTTTTCTAATGTGCCTTTGCTAATACCTATATTTATCATCCACTACGTCTATCTATTTTTCCGACCCTCCTCTGCACAACAGCACCTTGCACGTTATTTCTGGTTTCATGGGAGGAACCCCATGAAGACTGGTTTTAATGAAGCAGCCTCTGCTCTCCCACAGGACACACAGAGGAATCACAAACCATTTAAAGGAAATGTTGCAGCAGCAAATCCTGAAAGGAAAACATACCTGGCTGGTTGAAAGGCTTCATAACGTTTCCTGCATGATGTTATCAGGGAGTTCATCCATCCCCTGGAGGAACTGTTTCTTGCGCTACCACAGTCATACAGCCTTCTTGTGAGTACCAGTTGAAGTGGCAGTAAATAAACTATAGAAACGGAAAAATACAGGGCTCTTTCAAACTAGCATCCCCTCAAGATCAGGGAGGAGAATAATCACCACAGAGGAATCGTTGTTTATTGTCCCTTAGCCTTACAAAAATTTATTGGAAAAACACAGACGTTGAAGGGATGGTTGAGAGGAAAAAAACTTGGTTCCAAAGACTGCTTTCTGTGGCTTGATATTTCTAGTACTTTCTGGTCAAATTTCTTACTAGTGTCCCCTAGTTTTCTAAAACTGTGGAGTGACCCAACACCTCCTGATTATTGCACATACAGTGCACAGTCTCAGGATTATCGTTCTCTACAGGTGCATTAATTTCCTTCCTTTTCCCATATATAGACAAAGGCACTCCCTTTTCCCCAAGTGAGGAGTGCTGATTAGCAATGAGCAATTATAAAATGAGATTCAATTTATCTATAGGAGAATACAGTGCTTTTAAGAGAGCGATATTTCATCCAGATTATTTCACTTCAATAACTCTTCAGAACTGCTTGGGTGTTAACCCAAGATAAGCAGTAGTCATTACGTTACCGTGGAATCTATGTTTACTACTTTATCAAAAAAATGCTTGTTTTTGCATCCACGGTGATGAACATACTTTCCACATCTATCATTTTATTGGTAGCAATTTTAAAATGTGCATTTATCCAGTTATCAATTTTCCTCACATCATAACTTTTGGAAGTCTTGGTCTCTTTTTTCAACATCAGCTATAGAGACATTCAGAGTAGTTCAAGGGCAGAAGGTGCAGAAATGAGTGCCTATAACATACTGTTCTTTCTGAATGTTTTTCTAGAAATAACATGCCTGTTCTAATATACTGGGAAAATACTACGCTGACTAATAAGCCTTGCTGTTACAAGGCTATATGAGCTTATTACTTTAAAAAACCTCTTCAAACACGTTTTATATTTGCTGTCCACTTTAAGAGTGTGAATTACCTGAGATCAGATAGAAGTAGATCAGATGGTCAAGATATGTTGTTTTGTCCCACAGCTACTGGAGAAAACACATTTTTGTCAAAGAAACCATGCTGCCTGAGGTCAGTGTCAGAGAAATATATTCAGGACTCTTTACCTGAACCCAAGACTACCAAGCTTGACTATTCATTAGGAGGCACTGTAAATTATTCAAATTAATATGGGTCACAAATCTGCCAAAACCTTACTAAATTCTATTTATATGCATTATAAAATCTTTCCAATGTCTTGTGGAAAAAATTACTTTTCCTGTTAAAAACATATTTGTAACATGGAAATGTTTTGTGAATCATATTTGTCAGCTACACGAAAGGCCACCAATTATATTGCTCTCACGACAAAAATTATGCCTTTTAGTGTTGGTATCCTAACAAAACTCATACAAGAATAAATCGCTCCATCTAGAGAAAAAAAAACAAACATTTGCAAATTGGATTGAAGCTCTTTTGCTTTGAAATGTACAATAAGATGCCTTTATGTCATTTCATTGCACATGAAAATAAAACACTGCTTTTACCAATTTAGTAGTCAGTTCTGTTCAGTAGGTCCACAATATAACACAAAGCTGCATTTTTCTATTTCTTTCCCTAGAATACGTATCTTTAGTGGTAGCATGATTAGAAGGTCTAAAAGTCTTTTACTGAAAGAGTCAGCATTGCTCTTTTAGATGGCCAGTGTTGTTTCTGTTTGCACTATATAAATATTGCCCATGAGTAGGGGCCCAAAACTTGAAAGAATCTCTTAAACTGCTGATTGTAGTCTTCTGCTACCACAGGTAGACAATCTGCTTTTCACTAGTATCACCAAAAAAAAAAGCAAATGAATATATAGAAAACAAATAGGAGCATAGGATCTTTTGCTGTAGCACCTATCTTGCCATTTTTTGGACAGAACCTTCTCATTTTAGCCAAGGGCTAAAACTGTTAGTTTTTATATGGTTGGTTAAGCATGTTATCTACCATCCTACCTGTTTCAGAAGATTCTCCTTTCATTCTCCTCATCTTCCCTGTTCACTTCTCAGAATACATTCTAGCTTGAATGAATCTTTCTTGCAAGTCGACAAGAAAAATGGCACAGCCATCCAAGCATGCACTTCCCAAAGGCTGCTATGTTGTATGCAAGGGGGTGTTTCTGCATAACACACACCAGTATCACTCAAGCATTTCACCTGCTGCAAGGAAGTCACCTTTTTCTTCTTGTACTCCAAGAAGAGGATGTTCTATTATTTTTAGACCAAACCTCACAACATTAAGTCATTATTTCACCAGTGCAAGGGCAATTCCCAGGATGCTCTGCTATTCAAAATGATCCCAGTTGCAGTATACAATTGTGGCTGGTAAAATACAAGAAAATCTTCTTTCAATGACTATCTTTTTCACAACCTTCCTGTAAAGTCTGCTAATTCTTGCTACAAGGATTACCAATCTACTACAGTTAATGAGAGAGAATACAACTACCTCAGTATGGGACTTTCTGTGAGTTGTTTCATATATTGTGAATCTGATTCTAGGTGCTTGATTTGAAGCACCTGAAGTCTTATTTTTCCATGTTAATAAGCACCACTACTCATAGGTGGCTGCTGGAAAGTAGCAGCAAACATCCTGGTGAGAGGATGAGTGCCTGGATCACGAGCTGCCACCCTGGCTAGCAGCACTGACATCTGCACTGTGCAAATCTCTGTTTACTGTATTTCAAACTTACAAAGACAAGCTCATTTTTGGCTTGAGACCAAACCCAACCATTTAGACTAAAAGCTGAATTTTTTTCAAGAAATGAGATTCACTGGCCACTTTGCTCTTTTGTTATCATCAATCATTTATTTTTTGCCAACCTTTTTCCCTATTTCAACCTCCATTAAGAGTAGCTAGTAGAGGTGGAATGCGACTTACCCACCGAGACCACTGAGACTCTTCCCTCAGTATGTTCTTCAGTGTTTTAGAGCTTGTCATATATTAGAGAATTAATAAACTCTCATCTTCCCCTATTTCCTTTGTAAAATTACTACACTGGCTAATATAGTTCTGAGGCTTCCATAAACTTATAAATGCTGCAGTAATTTCAAGTGTTTGTGTGGTTTGCTCAGCTGTTTCAACATTTCTCACCTCAGCCATCTTTTCTCCCTGTGAACTCACATCCCAGAATAGCTCTGCATCAGAGAAAAACAACCATGTGATTGAAAGCATTTATACCTTTCATAATTAATGAAAAGGCTTGGGAACTTCTGTTCATCTTAAGACTAGAGGGAACTATGTCACTGTTGTCAGAGGCTGAGAGCTGGGGGAGTTTGGTGTATAATGTGCTGTATGTAAATTTACCACAGAATCATAGAATCATTAAGGTTGGAAAAAACTTCCAAGATCATCTAGTCCAATCGTCTACCTACCACCAATATTTGCCCACTAACTCCTGTCCCTCAGTGCCATATCTCCATGTTTCATGAACATCTCCAGGGAGGGTGACTCCATCACCTCCCTGAGCAGCCTGTGCCAATGCATCACCACTTCAACTCCCAGGGATTTACTCTTGCCAGCTGTACAACAGAAATAACACCTATCCTGAGGTGTCTTCAGACTTCCCAGCAGAAATGCCACCTAAAGGCACACCGCCGTTACTCACTGCAACCTGCCAAATATCACAGTCACCTGGTACTACTCACAGCACAAATGTTCTTTCTGGTAGGGAGCACGTGTCCCTTAACATGAGTGTGGAGGTGCTATGTGGGAAACCTATCTCAGCGCTGTGCTGCCCTGAGAACTGTGGCATGATTGTCACTTTTCTCCAAGAAATCTGCTTTGGGATAGCAGGACTCTAACAGTTAGACCTGAAGAAAAAGACTTTTTCCCATCAGTTCTGAGTAACTTGGTGCTATAGGGTAAACAAATATCAGCAAAGGAAATGTGATATTCAGGTTATTTCTCAACACCACACTTCCGTTTCATGACACAAAATATTTTAAAAGTGCCTCTTTGAGGAAGATCCTATCATCTAAGTATTATTTAATTTGGCATTCGATGTTTTCTAAATTAATATCCACAAACCATTTTACTCATAGCTAACTAATTAAATCTACTGACAACCCTATCTTATTTCCACCTGCAAAAAAGGTAAAATTCATCAAGTATTTTCAAGAACATTGCAGATGAGCTCTGCAACAATTTCAGCAGGGACCTGCAGAATAGTAAAAAACAAACAAACAAAAAAACAAGCAAACAAACAACAAAGAAAAAAAAAAAGAATAAACAAAACAAAAAAACAAACCAAGTCTTAATAAATATTTCTAACAAAACAGCAAATTAGTTCTTGTAATAGCCTGAATCATTCATCCTTCTTCATCTGACAATATCTGAGAAAATTGCCTGAAATTATGGCTGCTATAAGTGAGCTACAAGTGAGTGCTTTCAAGCATCATCCTGGGATCTTTCAGATAGAATTTTGTCCATGAGATGACAATGCATCCCTTGAAAAATTAGTTCAATACATTCAGATTTCTCAGAAAGATACATTTTTAATTTCATGAATATTTCCTTAACCAGTGTGAACCTTTTACCTAGCACTATGCATTTCTGAAATACTGGACTGGTTTCAGTACTACACATAGTGGAGAAAAGTGCATCTAAATTGATGCAAGTCCAAAAAAAAAAAAGAAATTCATTCTCACTGATACATGGTATTTCTGAATGCTAGAAAACACATCAATTAACAGCATGTGTAGAGACTTAAGCTTGAAAGTATCTGGAATGCCAACTAAACATGTTCAGCTGCACCACTTACCTAATATCTAATCCTGACATATATTGTCCAATATTTCCCCTGGCATTTTGTCTCCAGGCAAAACTTTCTTCCTTCTTCTTTTAAATCAGAATTTAAAATAAATAAAGAAATAAAATAATAAGAACACCCTCAAATCCACAATCTCTATTATTACTTCTTCTTATAATAAAAATAATAAGAAGAAATGCCATTAACTCCTTTAGTGGTTCTCACCATCATGTATACTTCAACTTGTGGAAGACACTGCAGACAGCTATCAGAAGTATGCCTCTGTAGTGCATCCAACCTTTCCATCCATGTGAGTTGGCTACAATAGGGACATTTGTCATATGGATTCTAAAAAGGAGAGGAAAAAATGAATTTCGACAACTAAACAATTATTTCTTCAATATGACAGATTTTACAAAGTATTTTAAGCATTTCTAATCATTATAACCCCATTATCCATGCTTTGTACAGCTGTATTCCCATTTACACACTGCACTCCTAATGTAATTTCTGAGTAATTGTGCACAGTGCATTGAATCATAGAAAGTTTTATACTATCTCAAGAGAAACCAGAGTATTGAATCTAACCATGGCTCTACCTTCCTGTAGCTGGAATATGGCAGCAACAACATGGCATGCAAGCTTTTCTGAGATCTGGGGAAGTTCTGGAAAGCAGCAGTCTCTTATGATACTGGATGGGATCAGCTTGCATCATTACACAGTAGAGAAGTGTAGCAGAAATAACTTTCTTTTAAAGGATTACTGCTGGATATGGAGAGGTCTATTATTTTTGGCAGGTTTCAGGTGGGCTGTGCATAGGGAAAAGGCACCCTCCTTCTACCCAGCCTTGGAAGACAGGTCAGAATGTGTGTCTTCATGAAGAAGCACAGATGTGTCCTGTAGGAACTTAGAGATTGAGAGAAAAAAGAAACAACATTTTCCTCCGCCAATATATTGGCATAAATATAACTATAATGCAATCTACTATCCTAGGTATAAAATGAAATCATTTAAAAAAGACTGAATCCTCTGTGGATTTTCTCAGTGTATCAGCATGAAGCTATTCAGGCCAGATGTTCTAATAATTCTGATGCATTAGGAGATGCACAGCACTGTAGCCAAGTGTTAGCACACTGAACTATAATGCAAAACATGTAAAGACACTGACTTCCAAAGTTATTAGAAGTTTTCATTCTAACCACTTTGCTCCCTTAGTAGCTATGTTTTCTTTACAATATGCACTTATGCTTTAGAGCACATAGAACAGCTAACAACCCCTCCCATCCCATCAAAATCTCTGCATTCCCTGGAAGAACATAGAGGGGCCAACTTAGGACTGATATAGGAGCCTTGCAGGAATGGAAATCTCATATCTGAACAACAATAGCATACTCAAGGCGGACAAGAGGCCAACGAGCCACAGCTGGGTACCACATGAGCAGGTGAAATAGCGATGTTGAGATTTTTGAGAACACCAAGACAGATTGTTTCACTCCTTAGTAATCAAGTGCATCTGCAATGGATTTAAGTATTTGCAGAGGTAGTTTTAAAGATATTTAAGCAGGTGCAATTTCTACATTGGAACGGTCTAATAAAGAGAAGTAACAGTAAAGAAAATATCATAGAATCATAGGATGGCTTAGCTTGGAGGAGACCTCAAAGATTACTGAGTCGCAACTCTCTGCCAAGGACAGGGCTGCCAACCACCAGATCAGGGGTCCCAGGGCCTCATCTAACCTGGCCTTGAGCTTCTTCAGGGATGGGGCATCCACAGCCTCTCTTCGTCACACACAAAAAAAGGCAAGAGCATGTCCTTAGAAGGATGCAAGAAACAGAGCATGAAGAAATAGATAGGCACTATATAGAAGGATAATGGGGGGGATACCTTGCCCCGAGAGCCCATTCAGAAAAATCCCTGTCACTATAAATTAATTACTCAGGAGCTGAATATATTTCAGAGCTCATTTCTGCACTGTCTACTTGCCAGGGTGTTAGCTGAGAGGTCTGTGACTCTTCAAGACCTTGTCAGCCTTAGAGGACAAAATGTGATCCAAAATTAACATAAAAAAATTACTGGGATTTAGAACTTGCCATCACAACTCTTAATGCATTTTTTTCCTAGAACACACCTTACACTTCAGACAGGAAACCAGAACTGAGAGTTGCAGTAACTTCCATTGCTTCAAGTGGGGTTTAATCTATTTTCTTTCTTTTTTTTTTTTTTTTCCCTCCTTAGTAAAATATGCTGAAGTTTCAGTTACATCCGAGCTTTCTCATGCTTTTTAAAAGGTAAGCAAATGTTTCCGGATTTACATATCAGGGCCATATACAGTGCACTAATGCAATCTCCCATAAGGTATCACTTCAACTGTTGATACTCTGATTATCCTCTATGGTAAATGGAGGGTTTGTTTCACTTCCACAAGACAAATGTCTGGTAATCAAATTTCCTGCATGCCACTTGCCAACTATTCTGTTCCTTTTTTTCCCTCATGACTACACAAAAATTTGTCATTAAACTGTATTAGGCATAATTACTTCAATTCACATTTCCACCTGCTACTTTTACTCAGACATAATATGGGGGTTTAAATTATTCAGATGAGAAACCTGTATTTAAAAAAAAAAGAAAAAGAAAAAAAAAAAAAGAGTTTGTAAAGATAAAGCAGGTGTCAGAATTAGTCCTCCAGTGTTACAGAGCTAATCCCAAACCTTGCATTATTCACAGATAATTTAAACCACTCTATCCTTTTTAAGTTGGATACAGTCCTGGATAGCTGTTGGACAAAAGCTGATGACATCTGTAACTCCTAGATAGTTCTCCTCTCTTTAACAACCAAAAAAGCAAGCATTTAGCATGCTCTGGATTGTTCTATATTGTTTCTAAATTGCTGCTCTACAATTTTAAGTCTGGTTCTTGCATCATCCATTTCATCCTTATCTACTTGGCAGCTCAAAGGTTAAATGAAGCAACGATCTTACAACATTCTTTAAATCACAGTAACATAGGTGGTAATGAAAAACCTTAGTCTTGAATTCTCAAACTATGAAAATATTATCAAATAGCTATTACTGTCATGCTTACTCATGAATCACAGACTTGCAGACAATTAACGACTCGTGTATTGTAACAACTCTGAAATGCTTTTGAAAGCTTTGACAAAAAGAATGAGAAAGATTAATAATAAAAATGCATATTTGCCAGGGGTTACTCATTTCCTTCCTTATCACTTCTTGTCTTGTATGAGCTCTAATACAGAAGTACCTAACTGACTCTTTAAGAAACAGAAAGCTCCACTGGGAAGCATGCCAAAAATCATGGCCAGAGGCAGGCTTCTGTTGAGAATCCCATATTAATGTGCAGAAAAAAAACAGCTCCACCTGCAA